ATTTATGTGTGTATATATATTAAAAAATATTATGATTAATAATTATTGATGCATTAATGTGTCGCAGCTGGTAAAGGTGGAGTTAATTTAAACTGCTTTATATATTGCTGGGTAACTGTATCCATAACATTGTATAACAATGTGTTAAATTATTTATATTTTGTATTCATAATCTGGATTTTAAAATTAGTTGGTAACTAATTTTCTCTAATAAATGCAGTGATGTAAAGTTATGTAGTAGCATAAAATGGAAATACTGTAAAGTGCAAGCACCTCAAAATTATTCATAAGGACAGTACTTGAGTAAATGTACTTAGTTACGTTCCATCACTCAGGGGCGTAAATATAGACGGTGCAAGCAGTGCCATTGCACTGGGGCCCCTGGGGTGGAGGGGCCCATAGAGAGAGCAAGCCCTTGCAAGTGATTCAGATTAACACTTTGGAAATATATCTGTGTTCAAAGATAAATTATTAAAGAAGAAGATTATTAAGTTTATTAGTTTTCCTTGTTCTTTTTTTTTTTAGTCAGTAGCTAGTTAAAACAAAATTATATGCTTTCTCTATATAAGCTATACAATCTATGAATATACTATAAGAACTATTCAATTTAATGATGAATTTCTTACTCTATTTGATTATTTTTGTCACATATGTAATGATGATTGTTGGGTAATATGTGTGTTGATGTTGTCCAATGTCAGGTCCACATTATTATCTATTTATTTATTAGAAGAATCCAAAGGTATGAGTAGAGGGCACACATGAGAGGTGCATCAGATATATTGCATATTTTCCAGTTTAAGTAAAATAAGAAGAATGCGTTAAAAACAGTTCTTGTTTTATATTTCACGTATCTTACTATATAATGACGAAAACTCTGTCTGTCTGTGTGTTCCATGTTTTTCTCCTCACTGACTTGGTCAATCCATGTGAAATTTGGCACAGTGGTAGAGGGTCATGGGAGGATGCCAATGAAGCAATATTACATCAATTGGCCAAAGGGGGGCGCTATAGCAACCGATTGAAATGTCAAACTTTGAATGGGCATATCTCATGCCCCGTATGTCGTAGAGACATGAAACTTTGCACAGAGATGCCTCTCCTCATGAGGAACACATTTGCCTCAAGAACCCATAACTTCCGCTTATATAGATTTTCCGCCATTTTGAATTTTTTGAAAAACACTTCAAATGGATCTCTTCCTAGGAAGTTTGAGCGATCTGCATGAAACTGGGTGAACATAATCTAGGGACCAATATCTAAAGTTCCCTCTTGGCAAAAGTTGGAAAACTTACTAAAACTGAGCTTCTATAAGGCAATGAATATTGCGGAGGGCGTGGCTCATCACATAAAGGTGTATAACATCTCAAGGGTTTCACCCATCACCACGCAACTTTGTAGGCATATGACCACACATAATCTGAGGGGACCCCTCCATTATTGACCCCATCAAACAAAATGGGGGCGCTAGAGAGCTCATTTCTTATCTAGGCCTAACCGCCATATGGATTTTTACTAAACTTGGTAGATATGTAGAACAGGACGCCTCAAGGTGACTGGAGAAATTTAACTCTAATTGGCAACTGGGTGGCGCTATAACAACAGAAAAATGCTTCAAAATGGCTAAAATGCAACAGATCGCTGTGGCTCCCCCTGTGGACCAATGTTGTTGTTTTTTCTAATTTATGGTATGACTAAGTCATGGTGTGCTGTCACAGAAACTGTCAGTGTGTCATTCTGTCTGTCCCACTTTTTCAAAAACTCTGTCTGAATACATTGCTCTTCTTAATGGGTTCAGTTGACTATTTAATCTGCAATTTCCTATGACTTGTAGCCCAAACACACACCATGTGAAACTGTACGTGGGCAACTGTACACTCAGTCGGTATGGACTAGTATTGTATATTGATTGTAAAGTAACTGAAGTTTGTCTTTGTAGAAGTGGCCTCTTGTGTAAAGGTGGGAGATGGATGATCCTCTGGAGTCAGTTCATCGGGACACTTTCAGTAAGTGCCAGTCCAACAGTCACTGATCTAGCTTGGGTTTCTCCTCCTTATGTGTGCATTGTTTTTAATTACCTCATTGATTTTGATTTTTTTCTTTTATGATTTACTTTTTATCAGCATTTAACATTAAACCTAAGCTGTATGCGTACATCAGATATACATCGGATGTTCATATATGTCACAGATCCCATGGTGGGCTTTTCAAAGGCACATATACAGAGCAAAAGAAAAAAACAATACAATATAAAATACACTCAATTTTGTGAAATTTTGTGACAATAAAATCAGGCCTATGAGCATAGGTGGTTGACCCATTTTTCCCAATGTGCAACAACATGCTGTTATCTTCTCCATATTGTAAACGTCCATTGTAATGTCCGTCCATACCTTGTTTACTTTCTTTTATTTTTTTTTTCTCATAACTTCACATAAACCTTCCCTAATTGCATCTTATCGTGAAAAAAAATGTACATTTACGCGGGTTAAACTAAACCTCCTGTGTCCTCCTTCAGCCACTTTGCCAGCACACTTTCAGTAATGTCTGCCACTGTATCTTTTCCCCTTATGTTTTTTCTATTTTACAACAACACGACATAAAAAGATAACAGGCCTTAGCACCTCACATACTTCATATAAAGCTTCACTTACAATGGCAGATACATTTACATATTCACATAAAGAGTTCCACATTTTGTCAGAGTGTATTAGAAAAGTCAGGAGCTGAATATGCCCACAGTGTCTTTCCTGATACCACCACTAGGGGTCACCAAAAAGTGAGATTTAAATTGTGTAAACGTGTACTACACAGCCTCTTTACAGCCACACTTTGGGGCTGTTATACGGACATGTTTATAATGTAATGCACATTTTTAGGGTTTAATGAGTTTATGTGTTTTGTTTAAGATTATTCTGTAACTGTGAGCAAAGCTGCAGGCCAGTGTCCTCTAAACAGAGCGGGGGAGGTGACCTTTCCAGTGAAGCCACATGGCAACAACTGCAGGTCATCTGGGCAATAAAATCAAGGCCTGCTGCCTCTTCAGAGTTCACTGTATGATTTCTATCACATCTGAGTTTCACCAGCTCTGCCTCATCAGTTTAATCGCTGTCTTATTTTATTTTTAAATGGACTGTGTAAATGAAAATAGCTGCAAAGGCTCTTGTACAGTAAGAATCGGGGGTATCACTGTGACGAGGAGGACAGGCTGTTATAAATAGCCTGACTGCTGCCCACAAGTGTTGAGCCAAGGAGGACAGGCTGTCTCCAGAAACCTAAAAAGGTCTCATAAGGCTTTCAGTTTGGCTTTCATAAGGCTTTTTCAATTAGCTCAGAAAGTCTTTATGGCTGAATGAATATTTGTGAAATGTAAAGGTGAGGTGGCTCTTATCAGTCTTGTTAGAGGAGGAAATCAGTCTCCCAGACACTAAGAGGAGACTGGCAATATGCCACTTTAACATTGATTTAAGGACTTCCAAAATGAGTTGCTGTTGTGTGAAAACAATATTTCATTTTAGAAATCCAGCCTCCATACGCATTTAAAAGACATTTAAGATGTTCTTATAACCTTTCAGTAAAAGTCTAAAGAAAGAAACCTTAAATTTGATAAATGCAGCAGATGAAACGTACCTCTAAATAATTCAATAAAATTGCAGGTACTGATGCACACTCTTCATCTCCAAAGTGCAGAATGAGAACAAAATTTGGGGGTAAATGCTATATATAGTCTTAAGTGCGTCCATACATGGGGTGGAAGGGGAACAGCATTCCTCCAGTGACAGGGTAATATTTTTGTTGCCATCAGCAAGTGCTTCCCAAGCGGCATCAGGCTGGTCTTCCACCGCTTTGCGCTGTTTTAATCTCTTGGGGTAAGCCAATTTTCTTAATATTCTATCACAAGTGGGCTGATTTTATTGGAGAAACGTTTTGCAAAATGAGATTCAGAGTAGGAGGGCAGGTTATCAAGTGTGGGATAGTTGAAATGTGTTTGCATAATGAATGGCTTTAGATAATCTGTCCCCTGTGTGGGGAAACAGCAGCAGCCTGTTGTAATCTCCCTGAGCAGTACTTCTTTACATACCAGGGCATTAAGAGGTTGCTGACCCTCTTTCCCTAATTTGTATCAGCTTAAAAAGCTCAGGTGAATATATTTTTGTGTTGAAATAATTGATTATACAGAATGGAATTAGCCTGAAGTTTGGATTTGACAGCTGGTTTAGAAGTTCATCTTGCTCACTTTTAAAGAGCCTGTACTTTCTGATCAATCTCATTTCCTGCATGATGGTTTTAATTAAATTGTGAGAGGGCTGTGCACTGCTGGTAATGACTATTTCCCTCATTTCTCCAATCATGGAATAGGCAGACTGCTGCAAGCTATTCATAGCTGAGCTGTGTTAGGTTGTAAGGTGAAACATTTGAAGTGCTGAGCTCTGGTGTATGTTGGAACTGTCCTGATGCCTCCTTAATGTTGGACTTTAACAACTCTTCCTTTGAGATTAATATGTTTTTATGATATTTATGTTTGCTTTAAATGGTGTTTTAACAATGCCACATTACTCTGTATGATATAATATAACCACAGACATAATTCTTGAAATTATTCTTGTACTAAGGTATGATTGCAACGAAGAAACACTGTGGATGCTTTCAGTATCAGTTAACCTGCATATTGTATATCTAATGACAGCACATAGGGAATTCATAATGGCTGCAGTAACAATAGTGGTTAAGGGACTGACTTGTTTGCTGTCACGGCTAACACATGTTTGGTCTCCCCCTCCCCCCTGGTGCTCGTGGCCAGGTCTCCTTGAAGTGTTCCAGTCATGGCTTCCACAGTCACACCTTGGTTTAAGAGGAAGCGTTCGAGCCAAGTCAAAACTGACTATGCTTTTGCTCATCACACATCACAGTGTGTGTGTGCTGCCAAGCAGCAGACAGCAGTAAGGTATGAAGGTGGAATTCACGTGCTACTTCTGAAAAGCACAGCTCGTGCTGCTTTGCCAGGTAGAGCAACAGTTACGCATACAGTTGCTGCTGACAGGTGGTCTTCATATTCATGCTACATAGTAGGCGTCTGCTTCCTGTAGCTGGCTGTCCATTTGTACGCAGATGCCAGATTTAAAGCTGTGCAAGGCAGATTTTAATAATCTAATCAGCCCATTACAAAGTGATGAAGACTAATGATGACTGCAACAGTGCCCAATCTCCAGTTATTGAGATCATGTAAATTCATGTTCAGTTTGATTTATGAGGTTAAATGAGCAGGGAATCAAAATTCAGGTCAAAACAGTCGGCTAATCAGTGGCCAGCAAGCTATTAAGCCGTTATTTTTGTGACATCAACACATTCTAGATCATTTATTAAACGTGTGCACATTCACTATCATTCTAGGGAGCACTAAAACCGTACAGCAAATTCTTGCTACAAATTAAAAGCAGTCACATTCATAATCTTTGGTCAAATTAATATTTAAATACGCCAGATATTGGTCACATTTCATACGCGTAGCATGTAGTATATAGTTTTAACCGTTGAATACGTACAGCATTTTCTGTTATTTTGTTGCATCAGTATTTGATGTGAAAAGTAAACATCAGTGCCGTGTTCACTGTTGCAATGCACAACATTAAAGGGTGGCTTTGGTATTTTTAAACCTTGATCTTATTTTTCCACGTTTTTGTGTCTAAGTGACTTATAGGAACGATTTTTGAATTGGTCCAGTATTTAGCCAGAGCGCTGCAGCCAGCAGCGGAAGAACAGGCTGCAATGTAACCACTGTGGGAATGTGTGCACTGTCTATTCAGGTCCAATAAAAGTGCTTGTTTTTGCCACTGACAGGCTCAGATTGTTATTTTAAATGTCTGACAATTTTATGGAAAGGATCCCTGAAACAACCCTGAAACCAGGCTCACCGCCACCTTTGTACATCTAACTGGGTAACTAAAGGGTTCATTTCAACCAAACCAAGAGTTGATTATTGGTGGATTAGTAGAAAGACAAACCAGAACATTATTTTATTTTATTTTGTTCCTGTTGACTTCAAATTAAATGTGTTTTGAAATGATAAAATAACTGTTTATTGAAACGGAATCTGGTTGGTTTGACGATAATTCCAGGCTGTTTCTGGCTAAACAAAAATGATCTTATTCTTTAACAAAAAGGCCTATCTCTGTAGGGATCCTTTGCATAACATGATCAGTTACTTGTAATAACAATCTGAGCCTGTCAGAGGCAAACACTTGCCAAGCACTTTTAGTGGCCGTAAATTGACAGTGCGAACATGCCTCTAGTGGTTACATCGCAGCCTGTTTTTCCGTGGCCAGCTGCAGGACTCTCAAGCAATGCTGGGCTAATTTAGAAAATTGCTGTTCCCATTAGTCAATTAGACAAATAGTTTAGTTACAAAATAGTGGAGTTACCATTTAATGTTGCATGTTGCCAAAGTTAACATGACATGAGGAAAGATGGGCATATGAGCAGATGTATATTAACATGCAACAAAGCCTACCGGCTAGAATCAAACCGACAACGTTTCAGTTTTGTGGCATGCACTGGAACTGTTCGGCTGCCAGGGAGCTCTGGTGGCATCTGTAAATTGTAAATCTCACATATAGTAAAGGCAGACTTACTGGTATTACATATTTGTGTTTCTAGATCCAAAAATAGGTCTAAAATATGTTGGTGCCATTGCCCTTTACTGCCAACTGGAGTCATCAGTTTGTTACGTTGCCTCAGGCCATGATTGTTGGGAAGCTCATCGTTAGTAGGGAAATACATTCATCTCTCTGTGCAATGCTTTTCGTTCCTCTGTCTACTGTTGATTTAGTTTGAGATGAAAGATGACACATGTTCAATCTAAAGTCACTCAGGAAGGCACCTGAAAACATTGCGTATCAAATGCAGATGCCGGATAGCTTGGAAGAGATGAAGACCTGCCAAAACCAAACAAGTGAAAAATGTTGCAGCATTAAAAAATGTGTGGTGTGTGTTGGCAATCTTGGCAGTGTTTTTAAACTGGTTACCAGTGGGTCTTTTTTTCCCTGTGTGGTTCAGCAGCTTTGGCGCTACAGCCCGGGATAGGGCTACAGATAATGCTTGTGCTACTGATACTCTGCAGCTTTTGGCTGGTTTTATTATTACAATCACGACAGACGTGTGTATTTTACTAGATTGCTGTGGAATACTTTTTAAAAGTATTGCACCCTACCTTGCTCTTAATCCAACCTTGCTGTGTAACATTCACACGCTAAACCTAATACAGAAGTTGAAGGCTCCCCTGGCTTCGTTGTCACTAGTGATGAGGACACAACATAAAACTGCCACTACAAGCCAAGTTCAGATCACCATAGAAATCTGCTGTCTTGTCATGTAGCCAATTCCTTACTGTATGTCAGAGGCTGCATGCCACTCCCCTGATCCTGACCTACATCTGAGGCCACTGGTCAGAGCTGCAGATACTGATATCACTGCTGACCAAGTTTCTCAGGAAGTTTCCCATGAGAGAGATTAACATGTAGGGCTGAGTGTTTTATACAGGACATGTCTGTTTTCTCTCAGTTTGATCAACCATGTAAAAGTCTTCTTTAAAAATAGTTCCTGGATGTCATCTTTGTCCATGTCCCTTATGCTTATTTGTGGAATTCTCTTCATGTTAGTCAGACACTACGGTAGCAAGTCTTTATAATAGCTTGTCATTAAGGGGAATTTTTAAAATGTACCTTTTAGGTTGCTATTTTGAGCAAATGTTGAGTTTTTGTATAAATATTTTGTATTTGTATTTAGGAGACTTTATAGGTAGTATAAGATTGGATTATATTGGCAATGCAAAGGAGAGAAGTGGATCTTCAACAACACGTAGAGGAGAAGGAATCACAAGTATAGTCCAGAAGTTTAATATAGATTCTCACTGTATTCTGTCCATCCATATTGAAGAAAATAAAAACATGATATTACAGACAAGGAGGCTTTCATTTAGAATTTGAAACTATTTTGTACTAATTATCTCAAACTCAAGAAGAAACTTCATGTGGATCACTGGAGTTTTTAACACAGCGACCTGCTTCTGCAAAACTAAACCCAAAAGTCCACCATGGTGGAACTTCCTATTTACTGCCTGTTGTTATAATGTAATGACTGACATCTTCCTGACAGGAAATCAAGCTCTAAATCGGTGAGCCAGGTGCAGTCCCAGGCCACGGAGGCTATGGCAGAACCAGCCTATACCATGCCGGTGTTCCGGCAGAGGTAAGTTCCTATTGGCTGCTGTCATATGACAGGGTTATTTTAGGTGTAAGGTAATACTGAACCACAGTCTCTACTGGCTGACCCCAGTCAAGACAGCACATTTCTTCAGTGTTACTAGCTGTTAATTTTTAAATAAAGATTATTTGGATTGCCAAATGTTGATTTAAGAGTTGTAGAGCTCATAGTAGTCTATGAGATATATTAAATGAACTCTGTTGGGCTGAAGTACTGGTGCTGTACCACTAGGATGGGAAATACACAAAAGTAATTCTGGGAAATACTTTGTCTTGATATAGAGAATAGCCGTTGTTTGATTATATTTCTAAGAGTTCATTGCACGTAACTAGAAATCCTCAGAGGTTGAATTTAATCTACAGATATACTGTATTCCTCCAATTCTGCCTCAGAGATCCTTCATTACTTTACTTCTAATTGTTAGATGGAGATGGAAAGTGCCATGGAGATTAGATCAAAGGGCCTGATATGAATTATTTTAGTACCCATAAAAGACTCTTAAAAGGTAAACTTTTGTATTTTTCAACTTGGACCCTATTTTCCCATGCTTTGTGTCCAAGTGACGAATGGGAACGACAGTTTTTGAAATTTGTTTGGTATTGAGTGAGAGCGCTGCAGCTAGCGGTTGCAAAGTAGACTGCAACGTAACCACTCAGGGCATGTTTGCACCATCAATGTACGTCACCTAAAAGTGCTCGTTTTGCCACTGACAGGCTCAGATTTTTATTATATGTTTCTGACAATTTATTTTTACCTTTTGCTCGTTCCAGTCTTTGTATTATTGTGTCTCACCAAGACAATATCTACCCAAGAAGAAGTCTTGTTTTGAGATCTCGTGACTTGTTGCAGGAAGACAATAACAAACAGACCGGATCAATCATAAAGTTAAAAAAAAAAGAAAAAGGGGGCTTTATTTCTCTGTATGGTTCTTTTCATAATGTTGTCAGACACTTACAATAACAATATGAGCCTGTCAGTGGAAAAAAAAAGCACTTTGTCGACATACATTGACGGTGCAATATTGCACCCGAGTGCATCTGTTTCATGGCTGATGGCTGCAGCACTCTTTCTCAATACTGGACTAATTTAAAAAATTGCTGTTCCTATTAATCACTTAGAACCTCTTAACACCTGATATTAATGTCTTAAGTGACCCGATTACAAGTGGACAGCACTAAATAAAAGTATAACAACCACAACGTTGCATTGTTATCTGATCCCTCAAACCACTTACTAAGATGGTCCGGGATGCATTTGATCACACATCTTTTGGAATGTGAACACCAATGCTTTCTGATGCATTCCCAACTAACATTACATCATCAGTGCAAGATGTAGAGGTTGTTTTGGTGACAGTGCACTAACACTTAATAACTTAATCATTTTACGTTGACTTGAATTGAGTGTTCCAAGACCATCCATTGTTTTACCTCATGCAGGGAAACGTTGAATTCTGCTGACAGTGATATCTCCGGCAAACCGCTAACGTAACTAGCAAGTGCGATAGCAATCTTGCTAGTGTGCAGCTAACATGAGTACGGATGTAATAACTTGTGTGTGGGACCATTTGGCCCTCTAGCGCAAGTGACGTAGGCAGTAATGAAATCTGATCACAATTGGTCAGCTGGAGGCACACGAAAGACACAGGTGTGAACAGCGATGACTCTCGCCTGCCCACTTGTGTTCGAATCACCGAAACGCAGGTTAATACCAGGTATAAAAAGGCTCTTGGACACAAAACATGGGGACATAGGGTAAAGGTTGAAATATGCCAAAGTTTTCCTTGAAGTAAAGTTTCAAGTTTCAAGTTTGTCACATACGTGTTTTAATGTTTAGAACTTATTCACCATCAAGACTGTATTAAACTAAAAGTCTAACCTGTGTTTGACACCCAGTGATACAAAAATGATGACTCATATATTTGGAGTTGGTTCCTAGTTGGTTCCTTAATAGTGGGTCAGTTTAAGCTGTGTTTTGTTAGGACTGCTGAAGAGGGAACTGAGGAGTACCAGCGAGTGAGCACGAATGTTGAGAAAGGACTGACTGTTATTCAGGAGGAGCTCCACAGGATGAGGATTGCCACCAAGGCCCAAGTGGATAGTCTCAATATCCAGAGAGAGGTAAGGAGCTATGAGGTATTTCATTATTTTTATCATTTATAGTCTATATGGAACCAAATAATAAACTTAATCTGCAAAACTGGCTGATAGATTTCATGAGCTGAGTTATCAGAGTAGATGTTTATCAGTGATTTGGATTCACTACCCCTAGCACAGCATTTCAGTAGTCAAATGACACATATTGAATCATTTCATTATTGCTTAGGCCTACTAAACATTTTATATTGCCCATATGCAGATGACACTCACCTGTACATTCATCTTATACAGATTACTGGTTCGTGTTGATACTCTGTCTCAATGCTCTGATTAGATTAATGATTGGATATATCAAAATGTCTTCCAGTTTAAAAGGTATAAAATTGACATAACAGTATTGGTTGCTAATTCATACAAAAAATAGTGATTGTTTGTTCCCCCTATAAAACTCTTAAAATATGCAGCTAGAACGAACACACACTGATCTTTGACTACCTTTAAATGTAAGCATCACATTTTGGCTTCCAGTTGATTGTAATGTTGTAATTTTTGTGTCTTTATTTAGTTTTACTGCTTTTTTCTGTTTCCAAAATTCTGTTAAAAGCTAAAATTGGAATCGGGTTTTTTGCCATGTATGTTTTCACATAGAAGGGATTTGCTCTGATGTTTTGGTGCATAACAATAAACATAATGAGAGAAAATAAAAGATAAAAGCAAGTAACACTGTAACAGCCAAGAAGCATAAATTAAATAGCAAAATTACAAGACAAATATGAAGAAAATATTTTAAAAAGTATATGTACAATATATCTGTTTTTAAGGACGCACTGTACAGTTTTGTGCCAAAATGTGCAGATCCATAATTTTCTGCATATTCAATTTGTACAGTAGCTCAGCTGTCTTTAGTGTCTCATTTACTGTTTGATGTAGTGAAAAATTAACTAACCAACCAGGCACCATGAAAGCTAATGTATCATTAAATGAAGTGAACATGTTACCAGTAGCAGAGTGTGGAATATATTTTTTTTAATTACAGATTTAAATACAGTAACAACACAATATATTAATGCATAACATTATGAAATACAGTGAAATTCCCACTGTGTATGAGAGTTGCTATTTAAGTAAATGTGTCTCGCCCTGCCTCATCTTGCATTAAAAAGACAGGCGGATGATGTGTCAGTTAAAAACTGTTGTTGACTGCAGGACTAACTGCTGCCTGCTGACCTCACCTCTTTCATCCAACTGGTCCAGGCAGATTTTAGATTTGTTGATGATGTCACCTGGGAAATGCTGATGATAAGATATTGTCACAGAAGGGTTCTATATTAATGTCGCCTGTGTATTTATCATGTATGGTCAACACCCTTAAAGTAAGCCCCAGTCACAGTCTAATTTCTAATTCATGATTGTGTGCAAAGGCATTGTAGGGAAAACTAAGCCACTGTGATACACACATTCACTTAATGCAATGTATTCTCTCCAGGTTAGGGAAATGATGTACAAGAGGGTGGATTTGTTGGAGGATATTCCCAAGATGCCGGACTTCCTTGTTCCCCTGCGGTCCCACACCGTGTGGGTGAAGAGTCCCGTCAAACTGTTCTGCACTGTGCAGGGAACCCCAAGGCCTGTTGTCAAATGGTCAGAATATTCACATCTCACAGGACTGGGTTTAAGATTTGACCTTATTTATGTCACAATAAACAAGGTCATGTTTAAAATGTGAACTATTTAAGCTAACAGCATCCATGTGTAATAGTGAAGCAGTAACACTCCATTTATAAGAGCTGTAGCTGATGATACTTTTAAGTATATAAACAATGAAACAGCCATCATGTACATGGCAAGCTACAAAACATCCCAAACAACATTTCCACTTAACTTAATTACTGTGTTTTTTTTTAACCATTTATGATGTTTCAGCCACATTTTATGTTTTCCTCATTTTGGTAGAAATATATATTTTGATAATTTAAGCTCTAGATTAGTTGTTTTATATTATGCACTGATAAAATACAGTATTGAACTCCCCCAAGAGGTTTGTTAGCATTCCTTTAATCCTTGTAGTACCTGTCTACAATGTTAAGCATCCCCTCCCAGTAGTCCTTGTCAATATCTGCTGTTATTCAAAAACACAATTTATTTTATTGTCAGATGGTCCATCAGAGAGTTACATATCACCATGCACATTCTGATTTAACAAGTCACAGTGAGAGTGTGTGCTGAACGTGTGGAAAAAACACTCACACACTGCTGGCTGTTTGCAGGTATAAAGAAGGCAAGCTAGTCAACCCACTGAATGCACCAGGGAAGTACAAGATTGAAGACAAGTATGGAGTCCACAGCTTGATCATTAGCAGGTACGGCACAAACACAACTCTGCACAGATGACACTGAATTTTCTGTAAAGCACATAAGAGTTCTTTTATTTGAAGAGTTTCCAAAGATATGACAGTATTGAGTAAAAAGGTCAAAGATATCCAAATTAGAGAGTCATTTTTATTCTGTCAAACAAATACCATCACTGGATGAACTTTTGTTGCATTAATAACATGCTATGATATGGTTTGGTTTCATGCTCAAGTAATATTGTAGTAAGAATTATTTGAAAAAGCTTAAAGCATGGCAAGTTTATTTATGTAGCACATTTCATACACGGAGGTGCTTTTCATAATGAAGTTTTAGAAAAGAGAAATAAAAGAATATAAAATATAATACCCAGAAAGTTAAAAAAAAATCACAAATAAGAATAAAAAGTGTAAAATAAAATAAAATAAAATAAAAAGTTAAAAAACACAGATAGGAAGAATAAACAAGTATGAAATAAATTTAACAAGAAGTTAAAATGACTGATAAAAAGATAAGATAAGATAAAATACAGTTTAAAAAGGGTATGAAATAAAATAAAAAGTTTAGGAAGAATAAATGAGTAGGAAATAACATTTAAAAAAGTTAAATGCCATAAGAATAAAACAGTTTAAAATAAACTAAAAAGGCATAGGTTAGATGACTAAAAGAGTATAAATTAAAATCAATTATGTGTTTAAAAAACACATAAAAGGCGAAATAAAGGTGCAATTTTAGGTCAAATCTAATATTGCAATTTTAATTAAAAAAGCAAGTTCCACTTAAAGCTGCAGTTTTTACTGAAAAAAGAAAATGCCTCTCTTTTCTGCCTACCACACGCTGCAAGAAATGAGATGATGTGGTACACATGCAAGAAATCCTATCGCTGTAAAGGAAGAAAGGGTTTCAAACTCACACATGTACTGTCTTTACCTCTTGATGCCACTGAGCACAACAAGTGCATCAACACTTAACCCCGTCTTGTACAGCTTTACAGTGCACAAAATGTATGAAACCTTGAAATGTGTAAAAAATAAAAGAAGCTGTTGTACAAAGGGGAAAGCAAAGGGCTTAGAGTTCACCATTGTAGAGCTCAATAAAACCTCCTATACGACTCTTGAGTGTTTAATACTTAAGTGCTCTACGTTTACTTTTGATGCCAAACATTAACAGAAGGGTGGCTACAGAGAGAGGACTGTTAGATTGAGGGGAAATGTCTGGCCTGCTGGCCCATTTGTCATCCTCAAGACTCCTCAGCTGTTCGTGTCAAAGTGCTGACCTTTGCGTCATTCGAGCCATGAATTCCTCCCGCTGCTCTCTCCCTCTCTCTCTCTTTCTCTGAGGCATTGAATATCTCCGCCGCTCCATCATTGCATTACAGGGTCAGCGAGGAGACTGTCATTTATGTCTTTATGAAAAATTAAGAATTTTCGCATTCAGAGTCCAAGTGAAAGGCTTTATTAGAGGAAGGGCACAGACTCTCCGAGTCCATGTCCCCCACAGCTGAGAATATGGATCGTCTTTTAAAATAGTCCAGTTCAGGGTGAAGGTCACATTTCTTCCTTCTATTCTCACCCACCCACTCGACTCTTTTGAAGCTGCTGCCTCAGTGCACCTTCTTTTCAATCTACTCCCAACATGTGAGGTCACTCTTCAATAGAGCCAGTACATTATGTCTTGTAATCGGAAACATTGATTTGACGAGTTTGCAGCTGACCTTGAAGAGCCACAGTAGTGCTGTTGAGGAAAGAAGGACTTTAACTGCTCCGTGTACAAATGTTTAACTCTGCATTACAGTGCCAAGGCTTTAGGATGGGCTCATCTTCAGCTGGTTTTAGTCGCTCATGCTCAAATCCTTTTCGTCTGTTGAGTGAATGTCCATCGGGGAAGGAAGGGACATGTTCTAACTCTTCAAAATCCTATTTCCACCCTCCAACTTTTACAGCAACAGTTTAGATCAGACTTTTTTTCCCTTTGATTTCACCTCTCTGACCATATCACTGCCTCCCCTGCCTCTGATTAGTGCTGGGACTCCTGGGTCCATATGTAGCCTAAGAGGGTGCAGGGCTGAGTAAAATCACTTCATCTACATTTTGATTCACAGGAGACAATGTGTAATAATAATAAATCATTATAATGGACTCATAAAAGACATTACAGTGGAACATCTATCAAATATAAGGCAGTAAAGTAAAGTCGTCAGCAACCGTCATGAAGTATTTATTGCTGCCTTCAAAGAGAACTCATGAGCTTGTGGTTACAACATGGAAAGTCGTGCACAAGATCTGCTGCGGTCAAGTAAGTGGTGAGAGCACCGCTGCTAGGCAACAGCGACCGATGGCGTCTATAAGCCACCGAAGCTAACAATGGTCTCTGTTGACGATAATGTGTTGTTGCTAGGTTGATGAAATGTATTTAAATGCACAGTATTCATGTGATTACAGTTTTTTAAGACTTCATAATTTAAAATTTATCCTTTTCATACTTTATTTAATCAGGAATCACATTGAGATCAAGATCCCATTTAAAAGTGAAACACAATTACAGAGTAAAAAATAAAATAAAAAATAAATAAAATGATAATGATAATGGGAATGACACAGAAATATAAGAATAAAATGCGCATTCTAAAATAACTTTGGTTTGGGTTTTTAAAATCAATTAACAGGAATAAAATACATATACGTGTAGATATGTAAAAATATACATTTATATAGACAACTGCATGACCACTTATAAATTAATGCATTCTGAATTATACTTGGCATAGGCATAAACTAGAATAAAAATACAAACATAACATTATCACACCTAAAATAGACTGAACCTCCAACCAAATCTTTTAATCACCCTATCGATATCAGGGTGTCAAGTTTCAGTCTACTCTGTAAATTATTCCAGCCAGTCGTGAGAACAGGTGTTATAACTATAATGTGTTAGACAAAGGAGTGATGATAAATAAGGTGGTAAATACATTTTGAAGTTGTCTTTTATAGATGATCTCATCTGACAGAATTATGACAGAAGACAAAAGGTATGAATCAGTTTGAACATATAAGATGCTCCCAGCAGGTGACCTAGCAACGACTACCAACACTTTACAAATGTTAGTCAGATTAAGAAAAAACAAAGGCCACTTAAGGGGAACTTAAGGGGAGAAGTGGAAAACAGTGACAATACGATGAGAAACAGATCTGGATCAAAAACCGCCATTTTCAGTCTGGAGGAGCAGAGTCAACTCATGTCAACATGTAAATGTTAAAGCGTTATGTTAAACATGCATTGAGTCAGATGCAATAACAATATGTTGTGACAACTTCTACATGTTTTTTGCCACTATGTAGATTTGACCTGGAATTTAGAAAATAGTACCTTAAGTTAGCTAACGTTAGCTAGTAAGGTTAGCCTGACAGCAGTGCATCCATCATCAGTGTTGAAATACAAAAGACAGCAGATTTACTCACCTGGCTAAAAGCAAGATGGCAGTTGATTCAGTTGATCCAGCCACACACAAAATAGTAAAACACTAGTCCATAGCCATTGGTAGCTTTGTCACCTTCTACCTATGCCAATCCTCAATGCCTATGTGCAGTTTCACATACATTGACCATGTCAGTGAGTAGAAAAACGTGGGACAGACAGAATGACTGACTGACTGACAGAATGACACACTGACAGTTTCCATGATTATGTACAGCATACCATACCATGACTTAGTCATACCAAACATTAGAAAACAACACCAACATTGGTCCACAGGGGGAGCCACAGCGATAGGTCGCATTTTAGCCATTTTGAAGCATTTTTCTGTTGTTATAGCGCCACCCAGTTGCCAATTAGAGTTAAATTTCTCCAGTCACCTTGAGGCATCCTGTTCTACATATCTACCAAGTTTAGTAAAAATCCATATGGCGGTTAGGCCTAGATAAGAAATAAGCTCTCTAGCACCCCCATTTTGTTTGATAGGGTCAATAATGGAGGGGTCCCCTCAGATTATGTGTGGTCATATGCCTACAAAGTTGCGTGGTGATGGGTGAAACCCTTGAGATGTTATACACCTTTATGTGATAAGCCACGCCCTCCGCAATATTAATTGCCTTATAGAAGCTCAGTTTTAGTAAGTTTTCCAACTTTTGCCAAGAGGGAACTTTAGATATTGGTCCCTAGATTATGTTCACCCAGTTTCATGCAGATAGCTCAAACTTCCTAGGAAGAGATCCATTTGAAGTGTTTTTCAAAAAATTCAAAATGGTGGAAAATCTATATAAGCGGAAGTTATGGGTTCTTGAGGCAAATGTGTTCCTCATGAGAAGAGGCATCTCTGTGCAAAGTATCATGTCTCTACGACATACGGGGCATGAGATATGCCCATTCAAAGTCTGCAATTTCAATCGGTTGCTATAGTGCCCCCCTTTGGCCAATTGATGTAATATTGCTTCATTGGCATCCTCCCATGACCCTCTACCACTGTGCCAAATTTCACATGGATTGACCAAGTCAGTGAGGAGAAAAACGTGGAACAGACAGAGTTTTCGTCATTATATAGTAAGATCACATCAAACATGATTTTTAATTTTCTGACAATACCTGCAAACAAGCTCTTAATGCACAAAGATTCTGAGAAAATTTAAATTGAAATCATCATATAGTAATACTGAGCATATAAATAGTGACTTTTAAATGTGTAAACCTATGGATACACATTTTGTATTTAATTGAATTACATTGTGACATATTTCTATGCTGTCTGGTCCTGTAGGTGTGTTGTGAGAGATACTGCTGAGTACAGCGCCGTGGCCACCAACTCACACGGCACGGCTACCAGCAAGGCTCTAGTTACTGTGAAGAGTAAGTCATTCTCTTATTCTGGCTCCGTACTATTATTATTATCATTACCGTACAGCACCATTATTCACATCTCATGTTTCTCCCTGTAATTATGATTTTATTTTCTTCACAGGCGCAACAGGAGCCGGGGAGCCCTCCTATCTTGGTTTAGGTGAGGGGAGAGAGGGGGCAGGAGCTGGGGTGTGGGGCAGGCGGGTCGTTTTAATTTTGGTTGGAATCAGGCCCAGACACAACCAGTTCAATCACATGGGCCACAAATAGCAGAGCATGTGAGAAGCCTGATAAGTAGTGGAAAGTATTGTAAGAAGCTGATGTCCTCTTCCAGGCACAGACAGAGTGAAAAACAAGAGGAACCTCACAGTAAATAGTTCAACCCTTGATGATTTAATTAAATTAGAAATGAAAAAAAACATAAATATATTTGCTTAATATTTTAGTATTTAGGAAATTAAATCATGTTAAATTAAGCAAATTGTTTCCCCCACCATTAATATTCAGAAAGGCAGTCCATAATGTCTCCTACTGTGCCCAGTGGTGGTCCAAATAGTGATCTGAAAATATGAAACACATTAATTAGATTCATGAGTCCACATTTTTGTGCAATTTATACAAGCATTATTACGGTGCTCTCTTTTAGCCAGTCAGTGATATTTTAAGAGTGCCAGAACAAGGTGACTCGACACGTCGTTGCTTCCATTTTCCTTAAATTTCTGAAAGTTTTTGTACACCATAAAGTTTACAGGAATACTTTATGCCCCCAAATATCCATTTTTATTATCGATTACTTGTCATGTTGAATTCATCAAAAAAACTTTGTCTTTCTCACATGAACGATGAATCCAAAAATAAAGGAATACTCGATGAATTGAAGTAAAACATCTCTGTGTTTAACAACATTAAAACTATACAAAAACATCTGTTAACAAACTCTCACACATTTATCATTTGTTCACCGGTTGAACCGGAGGTAACCAGGGTGAGAGTAGTCTCTAACAATGTGTTTGCAGTGTAAAACTCTGCAGACAAAAACAGGCACATCAGAGGACACACAAAAAAGCACCAGACTGGAGAGTAAAGAGCCGCTGTGCTCATGTGCGCCGCCATCTTGCAGAATAGGGAGCTGCTGGTCTACCATCGCCTCGATTAGTTCATTTGTTTGTGTTATTTTGTGACTTTCCTGAATAGGTGCTACCCACAACAAAGTCACACAATGACACACAAACTGATTGGGGGCAATGGTAGACCAGCAGCTCTCACAGTCAGTGAGGTAAAATGGCCGTTTTTGTCAATGGAATCTGGCTTTAAAGAGAGCATAGATAAGTTTCACTTTTAGTTTAGTGCCCCATTGGAAAGGCTGTCTGGTTGGGAAGTGCTGAGCATACACCTGGATAAACGAAACCTTGATTATACTGCACGGGGTGTATGAGAGTATCGTTTTGCTGATTCCACAATTCTACAGGTCCTGGGATCCCTGGTGTTCTTGGCTGGTTTTACAGATATTTGACATCTTCTGTATCATTTTGAGTTCTGCATCAACATTTTGGTCGTACATAACGTCCACCTCTTGGATACTCAACCCAAATAGACTGTGTTTCAAATGTTAAGCACTATTAACAGTCATGTTTCACTTCCTGCCTAGTGCCCCGTATGAGCGAGGTTCATGCCAGTAAGCTGGAGGTGAGCCTGCTCGATCGGTTCTTAGTGAGCTTTGGTGTGGAGGGTGGCTCCATCAGTCTGGTGTGTTCTATGGTGGTCATCCCCGACCTCCCCAACGTACCACCCCTCGCCCAGTGGTACAGAGATGGTAAGGGATTCATTCAGTCGTTCATTCAGGAGTGGAGCTAACACTTGCTCAAGGACACATCAGCATTGTCACTGGTTTTCATTTATTTGGATTTTATTTAACTCAGTTTTGCTTGTTCCAGTATGTTCCTTTTTAATTTATATTTCATCTGCATTTTATTCTTAGTTTATATATCTGTTTATTTTTATTGTTCCTCCTTAGCTTCCTCAGCTGGTTGTGTGCTAACTGTGTATTTTCGTCACTCTTCACTGTGACTTTCATCTCATCTGCTGACAGATAAACTGCTGAAACCAAGTAAGCTGGTGGAGATGTCTGTGGGTGGAGGCTAGGCCCGTCTGACGCTGCCTCACCTGGCCAAGGATGACGAGGGACTCTACACCCTCCGCATCTTTACCAAGGACGGCACCAGCGAGCACAGCGCTTACCTGTTTGTTTCCGGTAGGGTGCTTGACTCTGCATCATGTGGCATTTTAACATCATTAAATCATCATCACATGGGGTCACATTTTCTTGGAAATCTATTGGATTGCTTTTCCGCAAAAAGGGATATTTAGAACACATGACAGGAATAAAAAGAGGAACTGCAAAGCGGCTATTGATAGTCACCATGACTGAAAAAATGCTGTTTATCAGGTTGTTTTCTTTATTGTTAATCCGAGAAATGTATTAATTTGGCTCATGGTGGAGCAAATATTCAGATCTTTTACTGAGGTAAAAATGGCGATGCCACAGCGTGGAAATACTCTGTAACAAGTAAAAGAGCTGAATTAAAATTTTTACTCCAAGAAAAGAACAAAGTATTGGCTTTCAAGTATACTCAAAGTCCCAAAAGTAAAAGTACTCATCGTGCAGAATGGCCAATTTCAAAATAACATGTGTCATATTATTGAATTATAATTATTGGTGCATCACTTAAATGCTGCAGTTGGTAAAGATGGAGATAATTTTAACTGTCTACAGGGAAGCTTTCCGTCCGGGGATCAATAAAATATTATCTTAAAGGGATAGTGCACCCAAAAATGAAAATTCAGCCATTATCTACTCACCCATATGCAGAGGGAGGCTCAGGTGAAATTTCAGAGCCCTCACAATACTTGCGGACATCCCAGGGGGAGGGGGGGTAGCAGCACAACTCCACCTAATAGAGGCTGACAGCGCCCCAGATTCAAACGTCCAAAAACACATGTCTCAACTGCCTCTCTGCACCGCACACTTGTGAACGCGGCAAAAAACAGTTCAAATGACGTTTTTCCAAACAGCTTTTTATGTCGGGGCTTCAGGACACTTGGATCACTAAGGACGAGCAGTATGGAGATATTTTGTGGTTTCAATTATGTGTTTTTGGACGTTTGAATCTGGGACGCCATAAGCCTCCATTAGGTGGAGTTGCGTTGCTACCTCCTCTCCCCTTGGATCTCCGCAAATGATGTGAGGACTCTAAAACTTCACCTGAGCCTCCCTCGGCATATGGGTGAGTAGATAATGGCTGAATTTTCATTTTTGGGTGCACTATCCCTTTAATCTGTCATGTACATTACAATTTTTTGTTAAATATATATTTTAATAATAATTCAAATCTGCAATTAACTAAAATTGTCAAATAAATGTAGTAAAAGGACAATATTCACCTCTGAGACGTAGTGGAGTAGTAAAATATAGTAGCATGAAATGGAAATACTCAAGTACAAATACCTTAAAATTCTACTAAGTACATGACTTAAGGTGTTGAGTTACTTTTAACAACTGAATTTGGCCACTTCATTACAAGAGACAGTCTGTATCTTTGTTGACGAACAGCTGGAGAGATAAATGGATGGATGGATAAATACCAGTAGTTAAAGTTTTAGGACTGAAGCCAAATGTCAAACCTTAATAAATGTCACATCAGTTGTACACAGCATGTAATAGACTCAGTTAAAGTTCAACCGCTTCCCACCGAACCTGATCCCAGGATGTGCCCCAACATGACAGAATAGTTTTCCTTATATCTGGTCTGCCGCCCATTAATTAGTGAGTGCTTCAGTCAGGATATCTGCAGCTCCCACAGTAATTGCTATACGGTATTTGGTTTAAGTTTGGATGCAAATTAAAGGAGTTATGTATAATTATTATAATTGACAAGCACACACCCAAATGCAAAGACTAGATTTAAGCGACTCTGAAGGAGAAGAACATATAGCACATGAAAAAATTTTCTTCACCTCCTGAAAGCTGTTTCCTTCCACTGAAGGAAGGAAGGTTGAGGTTGGGGGTGTGGTTATTGAGCTTAATAATTTTATTGTACGTAATGTGAATTCTTGTTTTTTTTAATAATTACATTTGAGTTTAGGTCTTACCTGTCTGTCTATCTATCTTTACCTCTTCCTGTCTTCTATTATCCCTCCTACATCCCTTCTAACCTCACGTTCTTGCTCCCTAGATGCTGCCCCCCCTGTGGCCGGGGCCCCTGGTGCACCAATGAGCGTGAAGGCATATGACATCAACTCAGACTATGTCCTGGTAGCCTGGAAACCCCCCAACACCGTCATGGAGCCAGCAATCACCGGATACTTTGTGGATCGGTCAGTCTGCACCCTGAAAACTCTTCAGCCTTGCTTTTTATAGCGCAGCACACTAACATGAATACAGTCAAATAACACCGCTGGTAATGCCAAGGAAACTATTAAAAGTATGATATGATGTCATAGTTTTTATTTAAAGCCGCACTGATCGATATTTTTCATATTAACTATAGATCAAATGTGAAATGGGTTGCTTAAAGAGAATAATTCTCACCAGCTCTGCAGCTCTAAAGAGCCTCTCAGCCTCTTTTAGCTCATTGTTTCACTGTATGGTTCGATTTTTCAGTTAATCGAACAGTAAATTGACAGAATAATCTCTGGTTACAGACATAATGAACATGGACAATTTTCCCTGTTTCTTTGACATTTCATAGATTAAATGAAGAAATGATTGACAGATTTATCAGTATTTGTTTATTTTTTTAGATGATTTTTATTACAGACTTTTTGTTTTCAACCCATTGTGAAGAATTAATACAGATTTATCTAAGAAGCATTAAAGTTTAATGTATTTTATTTACCATTTACTTTTATTATTGTTGGATTTGAATGTGTTGGCTTGTGTGTTTTTAAAAAGGCCTCTGAAAATTAAAATTGTCATTATCAGAAAAAACAGGTTTATTGCGGTAGGTTTTTTTATGCCAGAGGTGTTGTGTTTTCACGTTGTCCTTCCATCCGTCTCATTTTTGTGAGCGAGATATCTCAAGAACGTCTTTAGGTAATTCCTTCAAATTTAGTAACCAAATATCCAGCTGGACATATTAGATTTTGGTCGTCAAAGGTCAAGGTCATTGTGACCTCACAAAACATGTTAGTGGCCATGACTCAATAATTCATATGCTAGATATCACAAAATTCCACACAAATGTCCTAAAGGATAAAATAATGAAGTGGTGACAGTTTATATCTAAAAGGTCAAAGGTCACCCTCACTGTGACATCATCATGTTGTGTATAAAACACAAAAAAATTCTGGCCATTATTCAGCATCCTATCTCAGGAACAGAAGGGGAGACATTTGATCAGATACTGAATCGGTGACTCTAATCTTTGGTGCCCATCTTGAAACTGCTTCTTTGCAGCAACGTCCACAGCCTGTTAGAAACACTGTCAAATATCATGGCCTCGTATCACTCTGGAGAGACATGGATGTAAACTGTAACTGCGACTTGACTGGGTCACGGAGGCATACAGCTGAGGCATACAGCTTCGGTAATTCTAGTTTTACATTTTGGTGCATGATGGTCACAATAAACATAGCAAGAGAGGAGAAAAGAAAAAACAAGTACTGCAAAAGTCAGGAATCATTAATATAAAATGAATGAATGAAAAACATGTAGAGTATACCTCTTTTTAAATAAAAACAGCTGGACAGAGTTTAAAACAAAGCGTGAAATGTGCAAGATATTGACTAAGGAATGTGCACGGCATAAAAATATGTGCAGTGTGTAAAAACACTAATCATACTTTTAATATTTACATTTAATTATTATATAAAGAGTTTGAGTCATGTAGTAGGTTAGAAGGTCCTGGGACTACAGTTTTGTGGATGTACCCTAAGTGTGCACTAGATTTTTAAGGAACAATTGTGAATTCTGGTCACTTTACACAGTGACAAGTAAAAAAAAATCCAATTTCATATGAACATGAAAATGATTTAATTTCCTGCCAATGTCCTCTCTGTGTAGGTGTGAGTGTGGTAGCGACACCTGGGTCCAGTGCAACGATGCTCCAGTGAAGGTTTGTAAATACCCGGTGCACGGCCTGAAAGTGGGCCACTCCTACCACTTCCGGGTCCGAGCCGTGAACAGCGCCGGCATCAGCAGGCCGTCCCGCAAGTCTGACAAAGTGACCGCCCTTGACCCCGCCGAGAGCGAGAGGCTGCAAGGTACCGAGGAAGGTAAATACAGAATACGCACCGACGGGGTACAACTGTTTCCTAACAGGTCTGTTGTTGTCGTCTCCTGCAACAGTGATAAAAATCGAAGGAAAATACGACATAGTGATCAAGGATGATGACCTGGAAGGTACGGTAGAATACAAAGACTGGTCCCGGTTCAGAGATTTGCTTTTAATCCTTTCACACCACTTCATCATAACCTCACACAGATACTAACACCTGTCCCTCTTTGCAAACCTCATCAGCACTATCATAAACTTTACATTCAAATTTTAAAACTAGAATTTTGTAAATGTTATCCTTGTTCCTTTTCAAATTAACATCCCATCAATCACCTCATAGCTGATCATTACGGCTTGTTGCAGTGCATCACATAAACATAAATGTTTCAAACATTATAACAACAAATCAGCTTTTCTGGTTGATTAAGATTTCTCATCTTTCTCATTTAACAAATTATAAATGCCACATGAATCAAAATCTTATTATTCTGAAAATACATCACATTGGATTATTATCTTCAGATTTATTTCTTAGAGCAAGGTTTTAAATCTCGTATCAAAATTATGTGATTAAAATCCTGACATTGTTCTTATTTTGACTTAAGGTTGATGATGTCACAAGAAACATGGCACCTTTAAAACATTTTCAGCCACTAACCAAGACAGAATCCTGAGATTAACATCAAAATTTTGCGGGGTGTCGGTGCTTAGTGGTTAGAGCAGGCGCCCCACAGAGGATCTGTCCTCACTGCAGCGGCCCAAGGTCGATTCTGGCTTTCAGCCCTTTGAGTGTCACTCACTCTCTCTCTCTCCCCCATCACTCACTTAGCTGTCCTATCCATTAAGGGCCTAAAAGCCTGAAAAAATAATCATTAAAAAAGAATTTTGTAATGAAGGTGTCAGAGATTATTTTTCTTTAATCTTAAATCATTATATTTGTCAATCTTGTTCACATTGAATTCTGAGATATGAAATACTGATTTTTACAAAGTCAGCCTCGCTCTTTTCCATATAGGTGTGACATAAATGTAGAATTCATTTATTACATTTTTATTGTATCATGTGTCAGTAAAAAAAATACTTTTCTACACACTAGACAAGCTTCTCTAAAATGTTAAAATCAATGATACTTAAACCAAAAGTATTTAAAAAGCCTCATCATCTACACTTTCACATCAAAACTAATCTGTCATCTGCTCTAACTTGTTGATTGTAATGCGTCACAGAACAAACCATCTCCCCGTCTCCTCCCTTTCTAACTGTTGTGGTGCCATCTTTGATTTAACTCCACCTCTTCCACTCATTCTTTAATCATCTGAAGTGTTTTTTAAATGTTTTCCATTAAACCACGTAAAGTTTTTTTCTTCCTACTCCAACGTGTGTCGAGTGTCCCCTTCTCTACTTTAAAACAAACTTTTAACACAAACACTAAAAATTAAAAAAACATGTTGTCATTTTTCACATGAGGCTATTGTAGAAGTCCCACATGTTACTGTGAAGCCCTTAATTATTGCCAAACTTTAGGTCCAAAGAGTTTTAAAACGGCTCTTTTACAGAAATATAAAACTCACATTATATCTGTGCCTGTAGGATTTAGGGATTTTTTCCCATTGCTTAATTAAATAATAATAATAAATAATTTCTCGTCTTTCTTTTTAAAAAGCTGAAAAAAGATGGGGGATTTTTTGCCAGCAAGCAACAGCTCTCCTGTGGCAATTATAGAACTTAATTCAAATAATAACCAAAATTTTCACGGCTCAGCTTTTTGGAAAGACCAGAGAAAGAAACAGTAGAGCACACGTCAGCTTAAATAAGACAGGATTTAAGCTCTTTATTGGAATTAGGAAAAGATGCTGCTGTCAGACAACCAGGGATTTAAACTCCATTTATTAAAATAATATTATGAAATACATTATTCAAAACACTAGTACAAATAAAACATAATGTGGGACTTCTGCAGCAGGTTCTGCTGTTTGAACTTTAGGCCTCAACACCATTCACTCCCAATCTAGGCTACGTAACGATCCCGGGGGAGCCCACCGATGTTCATGCATCGGAGATTTACAAATCATATGTCGTGCTGAGCTGGAAGCCTCCCAGCCCTCGTGGACGGGCGCCGCTGTGGTACGTCATCGAGAAGGTGTGTGGCCATCCGTTTCCATCAGTGTAGCCCACTGTTAAGCTCTGTACTATAGTGAAGAGATAAAGACATTAACCTCTTAAACTTACAGCTTTCCTTATCAGTTCCCTTAACTTTGTTGAAATTTTAATTTAATGTATCTTTTCCCAAACTGCATAACAGCATCACATGCAGCTCTGGTTGTCCCAGCATATCAGTGAAGTGATATGATGTTAAATGTGGATGAAACTTTCAAACCCCAGATTACTTATTCTTTATCAAATGGGGTTATTATACAAATCTTATGCATCATTTGATTCACACTTCCCCACAATTCATCCTGATAAACTGAACCTTTTGAGGTCTCCATTAGAAACACAAGTAGCAAGTGAGTGTTTAGAGATGGACGTACTGCTGAATCCATCAGAGTTTAAGAGGTTACATGTGTTGTTTATGCTCATGTTATATTATAAAAAAATAAACATGAAAGCACTTAAAGCTCACCATGTGTCACTGTTGGGGCTCTACAAAATCAAAAATGGCCAAAAAAGTCCGTCACATGAAGGTCACGTACAGTTTCACAAAGATAACTGACACTTAATCTTAGAAAATAGGTAGATGGCACAAATGATACATCGGCAGGATCAGTAGTACCAGTCAGTATTGGTACAGATGTATTAGTATCTGCATAACTTCTTACAAATGTGCAAACATCATTATGTTTTTCTCTTTGCACATGTAATATATTTTTGTTGTATATGTCTTTAATTTGTAGTTTAGTTTTATTCTGGAGTAAAATGTCATTTTGAAAGTGCACCGCTGGTTTTGTTCTCAAAATCGCATACTAACGTACCATGTACCACCTACTCACTCAGTATGTTCTGCATACTGCCGACTGAATTAAGGATTAAATTTGCCGCTACCATCAGACTGTTCACACCAAATACTGAAGCAATATGTCTTCTATGCATCACATTATTTTATCGATCATGATGTCACCAATCTGAGGTACTGCTGAATGAAAGCATTTTATTACAAATACGGTTGCAGCGATACCGGATTCAAGGTATACAATGATATATAAGTTGACGGTTATCATACCGTGTACATTTGCTTATCTACAATATTTTTTAAAAATGCAATGGACGGAGAATCTCACCTTTATTTTAGTTATTTTTAAAGGTGAGACTTTTTACACACACTTTAACAAAATGGTTTCAAGTTTCAATTATTGCACTACAACATTTGTTCGACCAATAATAATCCTACGTTTTCATTCCTTTAAGGGTCATTTTGACTGATACTACGATGTATTCTTAAATACTGCGATACAGTGAAATAATATTTTCTGAGACAGTTATCGTACAGTGAAAATCTCATACCATTGCAACCCTAATTACAAATGAAGATTAACATGTCTTCCACTCAGTTTGATATTTCCAGTATTATATAAAGGCATATTAAAATGATTAAATATTTTAGTGTTAAGTATGTTTTCTACAGTTTGTATATATATATGTGAGTTCTCGTGTTTTTCACATCTGTTGCTGGCTCGTGTCAGAACCATCTGCACAGTAGGCTCATGTCTCATATTTAGACATTCTTGCTAATCAAAAATATATTTGTGCATTTCTCATGTACACAAAATCTACAAACAATGCAGTTGGAACTCTCTGCATACTCAATGTTGCATCATACTGAGTACGAATGGTATGAAGTGTGTTAGTTTGCGATTTTGAACAGAATTTGTCTTCAGTTTTTTTGTTAAGTCATTCATCTTGCCTCCTTATAGATCCTTATAACAAATCTTTAAATTCAGCCAAGTCTTAGGAATATTTGCCAAAAAATTCAGTGTGATTTAATGTCATTCTGACACACACACTTTATGTTGCTGAGTTACTTTAGTTGGTCAAATAAAAACTAAACTGAGCCCCAACTATGCAACAACACACGACCTCTACCCTGTCAGCCCCACCTTGTGTTTTGTGCTACATTGATGAGGTTATCACAGATGGCTGTACCTTCTCACGCCCCCCCCCTCCGACTCTCCCACAGTGCTTAGCAGGCACTGGAGCATGGCAGCGGATCAACACGGCAGTCGAACTGCACTCCCCTCGTTACCCGGTTTTTGATTTGCAAGACGGGCAAAAGTACCAGTTCCGAGTGTATTCGGTCAACATGCATGGTTCCAGCGAGGCGTCCGAGCCCTCTGAGCCCATCCAAAAGGTGGATGAGGATGGTAAGGGCCGGGATCAGTGCAATGACCTTCACACACACTGTGATACAGCAAAGTACAATACACACAAATACACACACAAACACTGACGGATACATATTGATTTCTATTTTAAAGAAGAAAAGAGAGAGCTGATACTTTTATCTGTTATCTAATTATTTATTTATTTATTTTAAGGTTGACAATGACATTTTAGTCCAAAGTTTTCTTGCCTCTCACTGTTGAACTTGTATATAATACACAAGGAAAGGAAAAACTGGGCTGACATTTTTGGCACAAATGACTTGTCCAAAGTGTGTTACACAGATTATATTTTTAAAACAGATAAACTGTGCTGCAGGATTCAACATTTTATGTGTCAATAAGAGAAACAAACAAAATATTCGAGACAAACCTTGATCCAAAGAGATAATTTAAAAAAATGAAAACAGATGATTCTTTTTGATTTCATGTTGGTCTATGTTTCAAATATATTTTGGGTTAGATGCTGTACTTATTTTGTTTTGTTTTTTTCACAACAGAAATTATTGACTAAAATCCATTTTTCAAGGGTAAAATCTACAGTGAGCCCGAAAGAAATGTTGAAATTTTGGGCTGCTTTCAAGTGCAAAATTCAGTCCCAAAACTTGAGATATTAAGTGTCTTTCGTAGAGCTTTACATAAGATCTCACCCAGAATTAAGTCCTTTTTTCCCCAGTAATATCTTTATTAATTTTCAAATCCCTTACTGTGGAAACAACTGTGTTCTCATCCAAAGAGGGTTCACAGATTATTGTATCCATGTCATGCTCTCATTGTTTGTGTATCAAACACAAAGACATAGCTTCCATGGAACATACCAGTACAATCAAGTATTAACAGGAGTTCAAATAATTCAACTGCAGAGGGCCACTACATTTACAACTCGCCTGCCAGTCTCATCACAATACTTTCTCCATATACTGTAAAAAGGGACTCCCAAATGATTTCAAGGAGCGATTGTTTCCCTTTGATAATGTATGTCGTCTTTTCCAGAGGTGGAGTTATGGGTTACTCTTTAATCTAATTAATGAACTTTGGTGTAATGGTCTTTTTCCAAAATTGAATCTTCTTAAGGATGGAACGCCTCTAAAACTGCTTTTTGGTATTTGTATAAACACCACAGGAGTTTTTAGGGAACATTCTGCACTGTAAACATGCATGAAGCTCTCACATTGACCTTTTGTTAAAAGTGAATTACTGTATGTTCCAGGTACTGAGCTGCCGCTGGGTATGTACAGTTTAATGGAAACACCTTTTTTAAAGCACTGTCTTCATGCTGCTGTAACATCACACATTAGTTAGCTCGTCCACTGTGTGTGTGTGTGTGTGTGTGTGTGTGTGTGTGTGTGTGTTCTAACCAGGAGCGATCAGTAGAGCACACAGGAAAAATAATACGTGTACAGTACTTTGTGTTGTAGAGAACCAGGCTTTATTATATTTAAGATATTTTTTCTCCATTAAATGTGACCCATCTGATTCTTCTTGTAGTTCAGGTCAGATTTATAGAAAATATAAAATGCATATACTTGTATTTTCTTATTTTAAACACCCCTCTTTTCCCATAAAACTTTTCACTGATCTTCTTGAAGTCAAGGGTATATAGCAGGGATCCTCAAATTGCTTTGCCCATGGTAAACTTTTGCAAAATGAAAGGCGTCCAGGGGCCAATTAATAGACAAACATTCATAATATTTATCAGTATACAGTATGAAAGGCTTTTATTCAACCTTCCACCATTTGCTGTCCACACTCATCTTTGCCAAGACGCTTTTTTGTCCACTGTGGCACCTTATTGACAGTCAGAGTCAATCAATTTATTTCCATTGTGAATTAGAAAATGATTAGTGGGCCACCTGGCACCCTGTCACGGGCTAGATTTTGCCCACAGGATGTAAATTGAGTATCACTGGTATACAGTATGTGAGGTTTTCAGCTAAAATTCTGTGGAGAGGCCCAGTTAAACCTCTCCGTACTCAAATCTCAGTCACATCCTTCAACTCAAATCCTCTCTAACTTCACATTGTTGTTTCACAGACCCAAAACTTACATAATGTTGTGTTTGTTCACAAAGTGACAGCTCATGTTTTTATTGAAAAGGGCACCTTCCCAGTGTTGGTTGGTTCATGAGTAGCATTTTGCCTTTTTCCAGTTATAATTATTAGCAAATGATGTGAATCGGTACATTGCTGCCAGAAAGTGCAGATGGTAAATATTTGCCAGGTAAAGTCAAGCAATAAATTCCTGTGACTGAATGGGTCTGATGTGGTGTATCATCAATTTTTGCTTTATATCTGCATTCAGATGTTCCTGGATTTCTTCACTGTAGATGATAAATGTTTTGTTTTTTTGTAAATCCACATATAATTTAGAAATGTAACTCTTAAATATTGATCCATTTTTAACACATAAATGAAGGCAAAGAGCGTACCTCTAAATGAAACCATTAATGTTAAATATTGTATCATCACTAGTATCTGATAAAAACTTGTTTCCCCTCCTGAACAGGCGTCCCCTCTGCTCCCGGTAAGGTTACTGCCAGCAGAAACACCAAGTCATCTGTGTTTGTGCAGTGGGAGCCTCCCAAACTTCTGAAAAACCTCATGGGGTACTACATCGATGGCCGTGTCGCTGGATCCAAGGAGTGGTTCCCCTGTAACCACAAACCCTTTAAATGCTGCAGGTGAGTGTTCAGGACTGACAGAGTCCTGCTATGGCTCCAAAGTCAGGGAGGGTTTAAAGGATATTAGATCTCAAGATGTTAAATCCAGAATGGAAAAAAAAAACAAGAAACCAAGTCATGGCTCAGAGGTTTTCAAACACATCTATCTATTTTTCTATCATAAATATTTGCTGCATATCTCACATGGGTACAAGTGTCAATGAAGTGATTTGTGGCAGTGCTCTTTATTATTAATTATATTCAGCTTGACATAGCTTTTACATTCTTTGCAACTCAGCCAGTTTGAGCAAAAAGCACATTATGTATTGAATATAAACTAGTCCATACCCATTGAGTACAGCATACCATACCATGACTTAGTCATACCAAAAACAACACCAACATTGGTCCACAGGGGGAGCCACAGCGATCGGTCACATTTTAGCCATTTTGAAGCATTTTTCTGTTGTTATAGCGCCACCCAGTTGCCAATTAGAGTTAAATTTCTCCAGTCACCTTGAGGCGTCCTGTTCTACATATCTACCAAGTTTAGTAAAAATCCATATAGCGGTTAGGCCTAGAAAAGAAATGAGCTCTCTAGCGCCCCCATTTTGTTTGATGGGGTCAATAATGGAGGGGCCCCCTCAGATTATGTGTGGTCATATGCCTACAAAGTTGCGTGGTGATGGGTGAAACCCTTGAGATGTTATACACCTTTATGTGATGAGCCACGCCCTCCGCAATATTCATTGCCTTATAGAAGCTCAGTTTTAGTAAGTTTTCCAACTTTTGCCAAGAGGGAACTTTAGATATTGGTCCCTAGATTATGTTCACCCAGTTTCATGCAGATTGCTCAAACTTCCTAGGAAGAGATCCATTTGAAGTGTTTTTCAAAAAATTCAAAATGGCGGAAAATCTACAGTACAGGCCAAAAGTTTGGACACACCTTCTCATTCAATGCGTTTTCTTTATTTTCATGACTATTTACATTGTAGATTCTCACTGAAGGCATCAAAACTATGAATGAACACATGTGGAGTTATGTACTTAACAAAAAAAGGTGAAATAACTGAAAACATGTTTTATATTCTAGTTTCTTCAAAATAGCCACCCTTTGCTCTGATTACTGCTTTGCACACTCTTGGCATTCTCTCCATGAGCTTCAAGAGGTAGTCACCTGAAATGGTTTCCACTTCACAGGTGTGCCTTATCAGGGTTAATTAGTGGAATTTCTTGCTTTATCAATGGGGTTGGGACCATCAGTTGTGTGCAGAAGTCAGGTTAATACACAGCCGACAGCCCTATTGGACAACTGTTAAAATTCATATTATGGCAAGAACCAATCAGCTAACTAACAAAAAACGAGTGGCCATCATTACTTTAAGAAATGAAGGTCAGTCAGTCCGGAAAATTGCAAAAACTTTAAATGTGTCCCCAAGTGGAGTCGCAAAAACCATCAAGTGCTACAACGAAGCTGGCACACATGAGGACCGACCCAGGAAAGGAAGACCAAGAGTCACCTCTGCTTCTGAGGATAAGTTCATCCGAGTCACCAGCCTCAGAAATGGCAAGTTAACAGCAGCTCAGATCAGAGACCAGATGAATGCCACACAGAGTTCTAGCAGCAGACCCATCTCTAGAACAACTGTTAAGAGGAGACTGCGCGAATCAGGCCTTCATGGTCAAATAGCTGCTAGGAAACCACTGCTAAGGAGAGGCAACAAGCAGAAGAGATTTGTTTGGGCCAAGAAACACAAGGAATGGACATTAGACCAGTGGAAATCTGTGCTTTGGTCTGATGAGTCCAAATTTGAGATCTTTGGTTCCAACCGCCGTGTCTTTGTGAGACGCAGAAAAGGTGAACGGATGGATTCCACATGCCTGGTTCCCACTGTGAAGCATGGAGGAGGAGGTGTGATGGTGTGGGGGTGTTTTGCTGGTGACACTGTTGGGGATTTATTCAAAATTGAAGGCACACTGAACCAGCATGGCTACCACAGCATCCTGCAGCGACATGCCATCCCATCCGGTTTGCATTTAGTTGGACGATCATTTATTTTTCAACAGGACAATGACCCCAAACACACCTCCAGGCTGTGTAAGGGCTATTTGACCAAGAAGGAGAGTGATGGAGTGCTGCGGCAGATGACCTGGCCTCCACAGTCACCGGACCTGAACCCAATCGAGATGGTTTGGGGTGAGCTGGACCACAGAGTGAAGGCAAAGGGGCCAACAAGTGCTAAACACCTCTGGGAACTCCTTCAAGACTGTTGGAAAACCATTTCAGGTGACTACCTCTTGAAGCTCATGGAGAGAATGCCAAGAGTGTGCAAAGCAGTAATCAGAGCAAAGGGTGGCTATTTTGAAGAAACTAGAATATAAAACATGTTTTCAGTTATTTCACCTTTTTTTGTTAAGTACATAACTCCACATGTGTTCATTCATAGTTTTGATGCCTTCAGTGAGAATCTACAATGTAAATAGTCATGAAAATAAAGAAAACGCATTGAATGAGAAGGTGTGTCCAAACTTTTGGCCTGTACTGTATATAAGCGGAAGTTATGGGTTCTTGAGGCAAATGTGTTCCTCATGAGGAGAGGCATCTCTGTGCAAAGTTTCATGTCTCTACGACATACGGGGCATGAGATATGCCCATTCAAAGTTTGCAATTTCAATCGATTGCTATAGCGACCCCCTTTGGCCAATTGATGTAATATTGCTTCATTGGCATCCTCCCATGACCCTCTACCACTGTGCCAAATTTCGCATGGATTGACCAAGTCAGTGAGGAGAAAAACATGGAACACACACACACACAGAGTTTTCGTCATTATATAGTAAGAAAGATACTAAGATACAGCAGCTCCTCGCGAGGAGTCTCCCTTCATCATCAATTGTTAGACAAACCACTCCACCTGTAATTTTATTATCCCCAATGCTCCGCCTGTGAGCCTTAGATAAAGGAATTTTAATGTAAGGCTCTTTAGTCCACCCAAAAGGAACAGTTTTTATTGCATGATACTAATTAAGGACAATAACCATCTGCTTGACTCACCTATAAATATATATAATGTATTAAAATATAATATTTACATAGAAACACCACATACAGGCACAAGAGTAAAGTGCTGTTAGTTCTATTAGACACCAAAAAGATCATAATGGCAGCAAATTTTGATGAAATAATCCAAATGTTTATGAAATGTGTGTCAGGTTTGTGGTTCACGGCCTGATCCCAGGAGAGACCTACACCTTCCGTGTCCAAGCCGTCAACATCTTTGGCCTCAGTGAGGAGTCACAGGAGTCCTCTCCCATCGCTGTGATGCCGACTCTCGGTAAGAGCAACATAATTTTTAATAAATGAAAAGTGCTTTAAAAAATGCTAATAAAGCTGGTAGGTTGTAAAGAAAATGTTGGGTGCAAATTAAAAACTGTTTCAAAAGACGCCGATGAGTATGTTGGTAAAAATGTACCTGAAAACAAAAGGTAATAAGATTACTATCTTGCAATATCATACTCATGTCATTATTCTGTCCAGGCAAAGGGGTGGATTATGGTACGTATGAAATAGTTGATTTTCTCCCACCTGACTTACCCACAGCTCCCACTGTGTCCACTTTCACTCTGCATTATGTGCTTTAATCACAGAATTGCATATTTTCAAAGTCACCATACACAGTAGTAATAGAATACATTGCTTGGTGCCACAAGGATCACAAATAAAACCCACTTGTACTGTTTAAAATTACTGAGCAGTTATTCAGTCAAGGTGCTAAAACCTTCTGTTAGATGTGTTTTTAAATTGCTTCGTGGTGTTGTGGCAGCTTAGATGAATCTAGTTTGAAAAAGCAAATGCGCAAAGGGCACACAAAGCTCACAGTTAAAGCTGGGGTAGGCAGTTTTATTTTGGCGTCATTGTGCAAAAATCCCATAATAATCTTTGAGCATATTGTAATTCAAGTAGACTCAGAGAAAACTAGACTTCTGCACCTCCTCTTGGCTCTGTTTTCAGGCTTTAAAAAATCTAGCCTGTGACAGAAGACTTTGGCCAATCAGAAGTCACTTCAGAGAGAGGGCGTTCCTTTTGGCTATTCTACAAATAAAGATACGTCCCCTCGGTGAAAGCCCGATTGAATGGCGGAGAATCCTGCAGAGACCGTTGGTATCCCAGCATTTGCAACAACTGCCTACACTGCAAAGCAACTCAAAAAAGGAAGATGAGCTTATCAAAAAGAGAGTCTGACAATAAATGAAATAAAACATGTACTGGATGAGCGTTTAGCTTTCTGCTAACAGGAGCTAAAGGCTCACAACTACAGTTCACTTTTATGTAGCTAACGATAGAGCCTCCAATCACAGTGTGTCCTCGGTCTAACTCCCCCGCTGCCACAGACCACCTTGCCATGAGCAGAGTGGGCAGCAGCTCTAGAAACCGACCCTCCTCCGAATCTGCTGCCCACTCTGCTCCCAGTGAAGCAGTCCACAGTGGTGGGGATGATGATGATGAGGTGGCTAGCTAGCTAAGAGAAAGAGCTCAGCAAGGAGGGGCTAAGTGACTGAGCTGTGTGCAGCTCTAGAATGATATAAGATTAAATAAATGAATGTATTGGAAACAGGGTTACTGTATGAAGTGCGTGCATATGCCCATGGTGGCCTGGTGGGAGGGACTCAGGACAGAGATACGAGACCTGCAGGAGTAGGGTGTATATTCTTGTAGTGCTTTTTCCAGATCCCTGCCTACCCCAGCGTTAATGGAAATAATGAAACACAGATGTATTTTCTCATTTAAAATACTGATTACAATTCTGTGTAAGGGTGCCAATGAAGTATCTAAAATGCAAACTAACATTAAATATTCTGTGTGATTCAGCAACTCCCAGCGCTCCCTCTGGCATCACCATGCTGAGCAGTGATGGCTCCTCCATAACTGTGGCTTGGAGGAAACCCAAACACAGCGGCGGCTCCAAGATCAACGCTTACTACGTTGACAAGAGGAACACTGACAGTTTGGCGTGGCAGGAGTGCAACCTGCAGGCCGTCACGGAGAGAATGTGCACGGTGAGTGGCATCAGTCATACTTTACATTATACATTCATAAAACTGGTAGATGTACATTTGTTTAGGGACATTTTAACAAAAACTTTTACAGATCTGATTGTATGTAAGAGTGTTTTCATCAATTATAAGGAAGCATAAATCAGCTGATTGAGTCTGACAGCTTTAGTTCATTTTTAGGTGACAGTTTTTCAGTCCCTTCCTGTCCAGTGAAAACCATATATCTCCAGATGTGTTCATGTTAAATGTTTGTGATAAATTGAAGGATGAAGTGTTTATGCGTTGAGAAAATTCTCTCAGTTATTAACTGAATCTAATAATCACACCTCTCTCTCTCTCTCTCTCTCTCTCTCTCTCTGTATCTTCAGGTTGACAATCTGACGGAGGGACAGTTCTACGTGTTCAAAGTCCAGGCTGCCAACATGGCCGGTGTCGGTGTGCCCTCAGAACCCAGCGCCCAGATGAAATGTGAAGCTTGGACTATGGAAGAGCCAGGTGGGAGAACCATCACTGCTTCTTAGACAATACACTGAGCACTGAACACTGACAGCTTTAATGCTGTTAGATAGATGCTGTAGGTGCTATACCGTAGGTCTGCCTGTTGTTGTAATGACTGTCCTGGTTCCTCTGTTTTCAAATGTGAATAATAAGTAAGATTTTTATTTTGAGAAAAAGAAAAATATACCAGAGTAGCTCTAAGTTCCTCGTGTCATACAAAATTACATTTATCGCTTTTTGGTGGGTCTTCAAGTTAATCCAGTGCCCCAGAAACATATTAAGGTTGTTAAAGATAAGAAGATCCCCAATGTGGAAATTCAGGTGTTGCAGAAGCACAAGGACATAATAAGAACAAATGCATAGAGAAAATAAAAAATAAATAATTACAGATTAAAAATAAAGTATATGAGAGCAATTAAAGTCAAAATAATACAGTACATACATTTATATACATATAAATGTGCCATAAGTAAGGTCTAACTGTCTTATGCTGGATATGACAAAGTAATTAATCCAGATCAAGATTGATATTATTGTCCCACAAAGAGGGAAATCTGTCCGGGCTAATCTGGGCTCTGCACTGTGACGGCCCCTCCCTTTACATACTGCAGCCATAAAAATACAACATAGAAATTATACGCCAAACGCAGCAATAGTAAATAAACGTAAAGATAAATAAATAACATTATACGCTAAAAATACTTAAGTGCAAAAGTGCATATCATCAAATCATGTTGAAAAATTTATAGACATAGGTATGAATGAATAGTTTTTGTGGCTGTAGTATTAAGTCCATCCATCCATCCATTTTCATCCGCTTATCCGGGGACGGGTCGGGGGGCAGCAGGCCAAGCAAAGCACCCCAGACGTCCCTATCCCCCAGCAACACTTTCCAGCTCCTCCTAGGGGACCCTGAGGCGTTCCCAGGCCAGATTAGATATATAATCCCTCCAGCGTGTTCTGGGTCTGCCCCGTGGCCTCCTACCAGTGGGACGTGCCCGAGACACCTCTAACCGGAGGTGCCCAGGAGGATCCTGATCAGATGTTGAACCACCTCAACTGACCCCTTTCAACATGAAGGAGCAACGGCTCTACTCCGAGCTCCCTCTGGATGTCCGAGCTCCTCACCCTATCTCTAAGGCCCAGACACCCTACAGAGAAGATTTCGGCCGCTTGTATCCGCCATCTCATTCTTTCGGTCACTACCCAGAGCTCATGACCATAGGTCAGGGTTGGGACGTAGATGGACCAGTAAATCGAAAGCTTTGCCTTACGGCTCAGCTCCCTCTTCACTGCGACGGCCCAGCCTAGTGCCTGCATCGCTGCAGAAGCCACACAACTTCACGCTCCATTTTGACCTCAGTCGTGAACACAACCCCGAGATACTTGAACTCCCTCGCTTGAGGCAGTAGCTCTCCCCCAGCCAGGAGAGGGAAATACACCATTTTCCAGAACCATGGCCTCAGATTTGGAGGTGCTGACTCTCATCCTGACGACTTCACACACGGCTGCAAACCGCCCCAGTGCATGCTGGAGGTCACGGTGTGATGGAACCAACAGAACCACATGAGATGATGAACTATATCTATAATGAACGGGCGTTTTGTTTATGTTCTGATCAGCTGGTTTATTTGACTTTGTTGTGAAAGTGTGACTTTACTTTTCAGACAAACAGAAGTGTTGGAGATCAGTTGGTGCCAGTTGCTAAAAGACAATGATAACGATGTTCTGATTCCATTTAAGGCACTTGAAGTCAAAATGACATGAGACAGAACACTGCTGGAGCTAACCAAATTTCAGAAAATGCAGGTTTTCAATGAACGTACAAAAACAGACTACAAGGCAACTTCTTGTTATTTGCAGTTCATACACAGAGGCTTTAAAAAGCTTTATTCATTAAGGTGAGGTCACTTTTAATTTTCTCAGAACTGAAATCAGGAAAAGAAAGTCAGGTTAATGAATAATCTGTATCACAGCAGCCACACCACAGCCAAGACAGTCTTAGTCCTGCTCATCTTTTAATTTTTTGAATCTTACCTCCAGGCCCAGCCTACGACCTGCAATTCAGTGAGGTCAGAGGTCACTCCCTGGTCCTCCTGTGGAAGGCTCCAGTCTACACCGGAGCAGGTCCAGTCACTGGATACTTGGTGGACATGGCCAAGAAGGGCTCAACAGAGTTTGTTTCTCTGACTCAGGAAGCTGTGAGCCACCTTTACCTGCAGGTAGGACACAGTCTGTCCCACTAGAATTAAAGCATAGAGAAGTTTTAATAGCAATGAGGTTGGTAAACTGAATATTTGAATTAGAAGCTTGAATTAAGGTCGTGTCACTCTCTACATGTAATGTTTCCATGGTGTCCTGCAGGTGACCAGTCTGGTGGAAGGTGAAACCTACGTGTTCAGAGTTCGTTCTGTCAACTCAAAGGGTATTGGAAAACCTTCCGAGGTGTCTGAGCCGGTCTGTGCCAGAGCTCTTCCAGGTAACGACAACTTAAGACTGCTCAACTTCTACTGATTGCTTCTGTGTCACATGTTTTATACTAAGCACAGAATACCTGTTAACGTGTCAGGAGGGTTGGTAATCGGACTCTGACATTGTTCCAGCTCAACGAACGCGAATAGTCTTTTAGCAGATATGAATGTAACTGCCAATCTATGACAGTGACCCATTTGAAATACCCAAATTACATCACCATACGTCCTTGTTGAACGTGGACCTGAGTTTCATATTTCCGGTTTTCTGTGTAATTTCTCAAACAAATACGATTTTCATGCTCACAGGCACTAAGGAGATTGTGGCCGGCGTGGACGAGGAGACCGGAGACATCTTCCTGTCTCTGGAGGCCTGTGAGATCAGTGAGATGTCCAAGTTCGTGTGGTCGAAGAACTACAAAGACATCGGCGACTGCCCCAGGGTCGCCGTCACAGCGAAGGGCAGAACGTAAGCTCCCTGTAATCCTCGACACGTCACAGGCGCTTCAGGCGGAGCACAGAGGTCACAGAGGGAACGATAATCTTAAAGAAAAAGTTACTGCACAGAGGAACTCGTAAATACAGCAGAGCAAACAGTGTGTTCCCCCTCAAGGCTTCCTGTGGTTTGCTCTCTGTCAGTGTGTCCTCACTGAGCTCACAGTGGTAACGTGCCACTGAACAGGATCATGTCCGTCTGTTTCCTGTTGTCAGCGCTCACAGCCAAATAAGTAGTCATAAGTTTAAGACACGCCATGTTGTTTGCTCTCAAGTGATGTTTAATATCTGAACTCCAGACATTTTTTTTTGTATTCAACCACAACAGAATAACATCATAGTTTGAAAATATCATCAGAATTTGGAAAAATTGCAGCGACTGAATAAAGGTGCCGAGCTCGTTAATTTATCAGAACAGTTTGCAAAGATGTGTAATGCTTTATTTTACAAGTCCTGTAGATGTTTCCTGGAAAGAACGATGTAATTTGGTACTAATTACAGGAAAATTAGAGACTGTTGTTTAGTTTAGTTGTGTTGAGTTTGAAAAGAGTGATTTTTCAGAGGCGTTTACTTGAAAGAACTTTCCATTTAAAAAATGATGGTTATTAATTTAATTTTGAAAACTTTTTCCCCTTTAAATTAAATTGATTGTTTTCACGCCAGCTAGTGGTGCACTTAGTGCCATTTTGAGATACTTTTCTTTCTTGAGTATTTTCATCTTCCAATACTACTATAATATCCTTTATAATACTGAACAACTCAAAACAAAATATTGTGCTTTTCACTTCAATACATTTACTACTCACTAATTTGAGAACCGTAGGTACTAATTATTTTGCACATTAATTATACCAAATAAAATCAACAAATACTTTCTGATGTATTTTTTAAACGACTCAGCAGTATATCAAGTAATGAAAATGAGTGTTGTCTCAAATCAAACACGGCCGTTGTGCACTCACCGGAAATGACGACCGCAGCTGTTAGCTAGTTAGCAAACTAGCATTAGCATTCGCGTTATCGTTCGCGGTACCAAATCATTACAGACTGCTGATTTAACCCAATGAACATACTGCTGGCTTATACCTGACGACATTATAGTGGTGCTTAGTGCAAAAAACACATGTATATTTGTACAATGCAGCGGCGTTCACGGTCGCACTGTCCTCGGCCGCTATTTCCAGTTTGAAAAGTGGTCCCTCCCCTTCCGCTACGTAGCCAAGATGGCGACCATTGAGGGCGAGAAGTGAGACATTTTTGAGTGCACCATCTGGGTACTCACAGTACACTGCATTTTTCCATACTTCTCAGTGTGAACACACTTATGCACTGAAAATATTAAGTGTAAGTACAGAAGTACGCGATTTGAGACGTTAGTTTAGCATTTAATGAGAATTAACTGACTGTAAGTGTACAAACTGAACACACAGTGTACAATTCAAAACTACATTTTTAGGAAACCTCTTTTTAAAAAGACTGGAAAATAGAAGGGAAATTACAGATGATAAAGCACCCTAAAATAAGACAAAGTGTAAGCTGCAGTTAAATACTTTGTCTCAAACAAAATGTTTTAATATCATAACATTTTAAGTATGCTTTACACTAGACTACAGTAAGAAAACACTGCAAACTTTAATAGTTGCTGTGTTTGTTTCTCAGCTCCAGACTGACTTTCACCAACCCCGATAAAGATGATCTGGGTAAATACTCCGTGGTCGTCACTGACACAGATGGAGTCTCTTCCAGCCACACTTTGACTGAGGACGGTAGGTCTTTTTACTTACAGACTAAATGTAATGAACAGCGAGCAGTTTTTTCAGTCCTTCTCATTAGGCTTTGTTGTTGTGGTCTGTTCGTTGCTCACATTGTTGTCTTGAATCCGTTCTGCAGCCCTGAACACCATGCTTGAGCTCAGCTACGCCATCAGACATCCAAGTGAGTATTTTGCAGTAGCAGCAGACCTCCTGTATCAGTTAAATTAACACCGCTCCCTAAGGATTCTAAACTCTGTGTGTCTTTTGTTTCTGTGCAGCTGTTCCTCTGAAACACGGTCTGAACTATGAGATTTTGGAGAAGGGTCACGTGCGCTTCTGGGTGCAGGCCGTCAAACTGTCCTCCTCTGTATCCTACAGGTTCATTGTTAACGACAAGGAGGTCACAAGTGGGGAGGTAAGGCTTCTTCAACATTCATATCAACTTTGTTGTACTTAAAGGGTAAATTCTGTATTTTTCAGTTTGGATTTTCACATGTTTTTGTGTCTAAGTGACTAATGAAGACAACAATTTTTGAAATTAGTCCAGTGTTTAGTGAGAGTCCTGCAACTGGCAGCACTTCATTCAAAGTCGACAAAATAAATCTCATAAAAACCATCTTGGTTTGTCTTTCTGCTGTTCCAACAATTACCAGCTTTAGTTTGGTTAAAACAAACCCTTAATTCACCCAGTTATGTATGAAAGTATGCTGGCTCTGTACAAACTAAAATGACTTTTTCCCCTCTCTGTGTATTGCAATTGTAAATATTTACCTTGTTTTCTTCTCAGGGGGTTAAGATTAGTCACGATGTGGCCACAGGAATCATCCAGATGACGGTGGATACGTTCACCAGAGCCAACGAGGGCACTTACACCGTCCAGATCCACGACGGCAAGGCCAAAACCCAGAGCTCTCTGGTTCTGGTGGGAGACGGTGAGGCTTTCTTCACCCTCACATAACTGTCAAAAATTAGCTGATTAGTTTTAAGCGTGCAGTTTTTTTTTTATCAGATCGACATCATGGTACAGATTATTACAATGTGACAAAGGAGGAGCAGTGTGAGACAGGTTTATCTATGACGTATGCAGTTATTAAGACAAATGTGTGTGTTTTATTGTGTTTTTTTAGATCCAAATTCATTTAAATGTTAATATATATTAATTATTTTATAGAAGTAGCTTAATGACATTCAGAGAAATGATATTCCCTGAGTAAATGCATGTTTTCTGGTGGTTCTTCTTCTAGCACACAAAGGTTCTCTTAAACCAAACCATTGTTAGCCTACAGTATAAGACTATATAAGCACTTGTCGAAGGGGCAGCATCAAGAGAAGTAGATAAACCAGGCAAACTTCAGAGATCTTTCAGTCTGAGAAAAATAAAAAATCTTGGGGCCAAAACAAAATACTTAAAAATTCTGGGAATAAAATAAGTTAGAATCAAAGATTGTAAATATTGGCTCATGGTTGCATCACCAAGATGCTGTAGCAGCTCTTTTCAGTCCTCATTTGGTGTACTGTTGTTGTCTCTAAATCATTTGGCAAAATCAGAATGTAACATTCTTGATTGTGACACCGTTGTGTTTTCCTGTTTCAGTGTTCAAAGTTGCTCTGAGGGAGGCCGAGTTTCAGAGGAAAGAGCACATCAGGAAGCAAGGTACCAACACACATAATAACCTGGAAACACTCAGGGACCAATCTACAAAGAATGGAATGTGGCCGCTGACAGCAAATAAATTGCAGATCATTTCCAAATACGATCTGCTTTGTCGTAGGGTTCAGTTCACAAAAGATATTGCGCTAATGATAGTACAAATGTGCCCATAAAGGTTTGCAGCTCAACACAATTTGCCCACTTTTTGCCTGATTGCAGTTATCCACATGGCATGACCAACGAGGTGCAGAGACATATACCTCAAATGTTCAGGCAAGGAATTTCAATGTGACAGAGAGAAACAGTAGATGGGATTCAATATCCCAGTCTGCCAGTCAGTACGTTTACATGACACTTGAAAAAAACGAATTATTGCCTTAATGCGAATATAACTGGACAACTGAAGTGCATGTAAATGCGTTACTCCGACTAATATTGGAGTTCTCCAACTCCGATTAAGAGACCCAGATAATGCGATTGAAATTTGAGTTTCTCCGGCATGTATACGCCTTAATCAGAGTTAAACTAGACAATGCATGTGCGAATGCTCCACACCCCCTGCGCTGGCGTATGACCCCGGAACAGACAAGACATGCTATTGTTGTAGCCCTCCAACAGCATACGGCATTCTTGTCTGCCTCTCGAAATCACCATGACCACGAGGAATAGCGTGCACCTTATCTGCACAATCAGTAATGCGTACATTACATACGAGATGAACAAAGCTGTACGATTATCCATCTTGCTGTTGTTCAAAAATGCCGGTCTGCCGGTCTGCCGCCTGACTCCAGTAGTTTAGTTGTTTAGTGTACGCAAAAGCCGTGCAGTCCTTTTGTGGATTCTCCAGTCATTGTGCAACAGATGCAACAAACTACACACACAAAAGCTCTTAGTTCGTTCTTAGCAGGATAACTCAAAATACTGTTAGAGGATGTCCATGACATCTGGTGTGAAATTAAGCCACAAGCAGATGCAGGGTTTTTTTTAAAGATTGGCAGAGGACATTTTTGGTCTGGTCTTATCATTTTTGTTTATTTTAATGCAGACCCAAATGTATATTAGAATTATTAAAGTAAATATTTATATGGTTTAAAACAGGCATATCCGAAGTCAAGCCCCGGGGGCCAATTGTAACGGCCCTCAGCTTGACTTTCGAAATATTTTGCCGCACAATATTGATTAATCAAGCAAGATCACTTTGCATTTATTGTCCTTCACCTCACAATGGCAGGACTATCATACAAAGCGCAAAGTCGACAGCATGGGCCGCTGCTTTTAGGTGCAGTGAAAAGTTGAATACATTTTTATTTAAATTTTAAGTTGACGTGAGAAGCAGCAGGCCCTCAGGTATTGTGGCACCCATTCAAAAAAGTCTGGAGAGGAGGATTGTACAGCACTGGACGAGTGCTTTGTATTTTAATTTCATTCACTGTTGCTCTTTATTTTCTGCAACTGATTCAGTTCACTTTTATTTGTATAGCCCAATATCACCAATCACAATTTGCTTCAGAGGTTTTTAAATAAAATCCAAATTTTTATGATTCCACTTTGTCGTTTTAGGTCCACATTTCTCTGAGTATCTGTACTTCACCGTCACTGATGATTGTCATGTCATGCTGGCCTGCAAGGTAACAATCAAATCACCTGCTCTTTCACCTTTCTTATCACTTCTTGTTCTCTTAGTAAAGCTAAATCATGTGTGTTTGTTTGTTTGTTAGGTGGCCAATGTGAAGAAGGAGACGTCTTTCCATTGGTACAAAGAGGATGAGGAGATTGTTCCAGAAACTCCTCCCAATGTCATGTCCGGAGCCTGCGCTCTCCCCATCCCTCTGGTAACAACCACAACTTCCACGCCAAAATACATTTATTCTCACTGTACTTTGATTTTTTTTTTTTTTTACTTTGATTAGATGCTAAATTGCATGTTGTTATATCAGAACTTAAAATCTTAAAATTATTTTTTTTTAAATCATCCATTAGGTGCTGGAAGGAAGCTTCTTGACTCTACGTGTTTATTGGTTTCCACACAAATATTCATTATAACGGACTCATGATTGTGGGTCAAAGCAATAATCTAACTGAACATTTGCATTCGATATAGCCAATTGTAGTTGATTTGCATTTAATAAAAAGTGTCAAAAAAAGTCGGGCAATTTCACGAAGTTTTACAAATTAATAAAACTAAGCTCTGTTGCTCAAAGGTAGTAAATGTTGTGGTTAAAGCTTTAACTCAACAGATGATGCTGTTTGTTCACCTGAAATGCTTACAAAATAAACAGTATATGCAATAAATAAATCTACATTCCATAGAATAAAAAAATCCAGTAAAAATAAAAGTTAAATTTATGATAAAGGAATCAGCTGCTGTCTCTCTACTGTGTTTGCAAAAAATATTAAACGTGAAGCACAAAAACAAAACCCCATCTTACTTATTTATGAAGGTTTATATTTACTTGAGAGTTTTTGTGTGTTTAAAAATATACAGATTCTTTTTTAATATTACTGCTGCCTGCTGATAAAATAATCCGTGTTTTTTCCAGTTCTCCAGAAAAGATCAAGGCATCTACAAGGCTGTGCTCGGCGATGACAGAGGAAAGGACACATCTACGTTTGACATCTCAGGCAAAAGTACGTTCTCATTGGTCAGATGCAGGTCACTTACTTTGGTGTTTATTATTCTTATAATAAAGCTGTTATAATGTGTTTTGTGTCTTTCCATCTGTATTTGCAGTGTTTGACGACATTATCAACGCCCTCGCCCAGATTGCTGGTGAGTCTGATCAACTGATTTACATCTACATCTCTTTGTGTCTTTGCGTTGTTCAGTGTGTATGACAGGATGTAATGAGTGTGTTCTGCTAGCTTGTTTATGGTGCACAGTAACCATGCAAATGTCATTACTAAAGACATTTACTGGAGTTTATCCTCAGGATTTACAATGAATCCAGCTCTTCCTCGCTGCTACATGCACCTCCAAGTTGATTTAGCCTGAAGGTCTCAATGTCTCCTCTCCCAAAAAATTAGATTTAACCTTTAAACAAGGAATGAAAGACAGCCTGAGGGAATCTTTGCAAACTATTTGAGAAGCCATCTGTACAGTGTTGTGATCGGCTTCTTCTGGGGTAGAAGTGCTTGGCAAAAAAAACTTGAAAGTAGAAACAGAGGGGCAGAAACTCTCCAGAATCAACTGGAAAAAGGTGTGCACAAAACCCCTCCTATACAAAATCATTGCAACATAACTTTAGTACATAGTGTATACTTAAAAGTTGTGCACACTTGCACAGAACACATCTTTAGCTTCCGTTGATTTCCTCTGACTGTGTTTATTTGTGTTTGTTGCCATCAGGTGCGTCTGCCTCTGAGCTGGTGATTCAGTGCACACCAGAGGGCATCAGGCTGCAGTGCTACATGAACTACTACACAGAGGAGATGAAGACCATCTGGAAACACAAGTAAAGTTTAATTAAATGTTTTGTTTGACTCTGCCTAGCACGTCACAAGTGTACAGGATATTGATCTAATATTTACATTTACAGCTGAGACGTAACATCAGTTTGCCAGCTGTCTAACTCTGTTTTGTGTTTGTGCATTTTGACAGAGTAGTGTTGTCTCAAATCAAACACAGCTGCTGGCAGCTTTTCTTCTTCTGCTCGGCAAATTGCAACCAAACATCCATAAACACCAAACGCAACTTAAGTCCACAGATCACAAAGCTTACACCACAACACATGTAACATCAATGCCTGATGATGAAATATGCGACTGTTATGGCCCCGAGACACCAAACTGGCTTCAGAGAGCTAGCTGCAACGAAAGCTCCCTGTGTCTCAATCAAACAGCTGCAAATGAACACACAGCATGACTACAGCCAACCTCCAACCAACATGTACATTCTGCACCTAAGGGGAAATATCTCCACTCTGTCTGTAGTCTGTATTTGTCATTCAAAAAGAGACAGTAGTTAGCCAGTTAGCACATTAACAACACAGTATAATGTTGAACTGCTGAAGAGCACAAGAAAGAAATGACAAATAATCTTACCTAATGGAACAAGTTTGTTTTGGTCTCTCTCCCTCTTGACTTTAGCTTTGTTTACTTTCCTCACTTCAGTTTTTTCTTGCTGAACTGCCAGTCAGAGTGCAGTCTTTTATCGACGGGCTCCGCCATGGCTAACGTCCATTCAACATTCTCAATCGACCCAAAATAAATCAACAGGGGGGCAAGGGGGTCGGACACACCACACCAACTGGGGCAACAGACACTCACTGATGGCCCAACATTGACTGACAGCTAACTGTCGGTTTGGTGTGTCAGGACCTTTAGATAGCTCGCAAGCTAATCTTAGCACTTGCGTTCGTGGTATTACAGAATCAACCCAATAAACAAACTGATGGCTTCTATCCAACGAAAGCATTGTGATGGTGAAAAATGTGTACCATGCTTTGGTGTTCAACATGGTAGCCTCCTCCTCAGATGCCATGTCATTATTTGAAATGTGTTTTTGGTCCCGCCCTTTCCAGTACTTCTCGGTGTGAACGCACGTATGCACTCAAAATAGCAAGTATAAGTACAGAGGTATCAGATTTGTGACTCAGCAACACACACACACACTGTACAGCACAGTACTGTGCATGGTACACTCCCTGAGATGCTGTACATACTTGCAGTATTTCCAACCTTTAATTGACACTGAATCACATTAAACAATAATATTAATATACGTCGTTCTGGCTGCTCAACGATCAAAGGGCGTTTTTTTTCTGTCAGCTGTCAAAAGCAACACACCTCAGCTGATTTATTATGTAATGGTTTTTGTTTAGGAAATGTAGTGCTGCCTAAATAAGCTGCAGTACAAACAGTTTACTAAGAAATCTGCTATTCTACATTCATTTTCCTCTGCACACCTTTGACAGCTTACGTTACTTTTCAGATGACCATGTATCTGTGATGTTAAATGTTTGTGATAAACTGAAGGATGTACTGTTCCTTTATGTGTTGAGAAAATTCTCCTTCTACTTTAAGACCCAGTGAAATGAAAATGACAGTTCCCGTCCTCCTTCATCTCTCGTTACGTGCCAAATATGTACCAAAAAATCAGTGACAGAGTATTTTTACCACAAAATCTCTGTCTGCTCTCTTATAGTAAAATGGTTTCAAATGTCTGATGTCTCATCCTGCACTCAGGGGCAAATGTTTATCGAATCAAATGAGACTTTGGACAACTCAATAGCCTCACTGGTCATTTAAAACCATAGACTGTATAAAAAACCATAGACGTAGTCACCGTGATGTCCCCCACTGGTTTCTGAGGAGCGGGTCTGAAGCTCAAAGTAGGCAACTCTGGCTGTCGCCATCTTGGCAGTGCCTGACTCCGCCCAACTCCTGGCCAATCAAAAATGGGCAAAGAGGCGGGCCAAATGAAGCCTGGTTGCTTAAACACGCCCGCCTCGCTCGAAGCTGCTAATTTAGCTAAGGCTAACAAGCTACGCTACTTTGGCTAGCCCTGTGGTGTTGGCTGCTCCCGCTTGGTGCCAGCTCCCTCACAAAACAAAATATCCAAAAGGCACAAACACGGCTGAGAGGTCAGGTTCAATGACTTGTGAAGTAGCTGAGATGATTTCACACTGTGGTATTAGCACTTTTACTTAAGTAACGTATCTGAATTATTCTTCCACTGCCTGCAGGGAGAGTAAGATTGCCTCCTCTGAGAAGATGAGGATTGGAGGCACAGCTGAGATGGCCTGGATGCAGATCTGTGACCCGTCTGACAAGGAGAAGGGTAAATACTCCATCGAGATCTCAGACGGCGTGCAGACTCACACCAGAACCTTCGACCTCTCCGGACAAGGTAAAGAGTATTTTCATTTTACTCTGTAGTCAACATTTTCCCTTTCTTGATTTGTTTTGATGTTTTCTAAGTTATTTATGTATTTGTATTTTACTTTTTGTTACTGTGTAACTATAAAACTTTCTGTGCAAAGTAAAGTCATGAGCTTATTTTTCTTTTTGCAGCATACACCGATGCATATGAGGAGTACCTAAGACTTAAGTAAGTTATTTGACAAACACTAGTTTGTTGACATGTGTCTTTAAACTGTATCCAGATCATGTTAATCATCATGATATTCTTTTATCTTTCAGGGCAGCTGCATTTGCTGAGAAGAGTGAGTATATGATTATTTATTATCCTGCTAGTGCTACAGAGAGAGAGTTTATTTCTTTAGACACTTACATTTTTAATTAAAGGGGTGAATTTACAGTTTAAATACAGTTTATATTTTGTAGTTTACTGTTGAATTGCGTCATGATGTTTTTAAAGACTCCTCAAGTGACATTCTGAGCATTTTCAGAAGTCTTTTCCATTCAAAGTACAAATTAACATTAAATTTCATAGTCCTTTACATTCCTCCTCTTTTTCCTGCTGTACATCTACACCGTGTTACACTTTCTTTTTTCTGGTTAGTACAGAAGTAACACACATTTTATTTCCTCCCCTCAGACCGTGGCAGAGTGATCGGGGGCCTGCCTGATGTGGTCACTATTATGGAAGAGAAGGTGAGGATGTTAAACGTGTCAATAATATATAAACTGACACTGTTACACATTCATTTTGTTTAGGGGTTTTGTTCACAAGCCAGCAGTAATAAAGAAGTCGAGGTGCTGTACCTGCCTGGCAGCATTCCTGTATGAAGCAAGGGCTGGAACAAAATGTGAAACGTTAAAATAAGATCTATGGGCTGTCGCTTGCTTTTATTTGTTATCTGGTCGTGCAGATAGTTGAGGCTTTATGTGATTCTGTCACCTCAGTACAGTGGAACTGAATGGAATTTTGTTTGTGCAGCTAAAAGACTGAAAAACAGCATTTATAAAGGTGAGCAGCAGTGACTCTGTATAAAAACAGCATCTGTTACAGCAGCTGTCATGGAGAAAAATCTGAACCAGTTATAGGACTTTTTGTCTGTGTTAGTATAAAAAAAGGCAACAAATCTTATATTTAATTTTATTTGCCTTGATAGAAAGTTGTAAAACCCAACTCAGTGTCCACTTATCAGACTGTTTCTGAAGCAAACTGCTCTTTCCAAGGACGAGAATGAACTTTTCTGCTCATCTGTTGAATGATTTGAGTGTCACAAATGAAATGCCCTTCACTGCATTGATTCACAGATTATTTTCATTTTTATAATTTAATTTTTTACGTAAGATTAACCAGTAATTTACAGGAAAAAGAAGACATTTAAATCTTACAAGCCCTTGGGGGGGTCCCCATCCCTAGGCTGGGAACCAGTGCTCGAGGGATTAGTGGGTTTTCTGTAGTTTAGTCTGAAGCTGTAGCTGATAACTTTTATGAACATAACTTTTTATCATATTTGCTGGAACTGTCACTACATCCACACAGTAGTACGTGAGACGGATAATCTGTCTGCTGTGTGGATATAGTGACACTTTAAGCAAATACAACAAAACCTTATTTTCATACAGAAAGCACCTGTGGGGCTTTTAAGGGGTTTTTAGTGCAGTATTTAAACAAGCCTACATGAATAAACTTTGACTTGATTTGACTCTCGACCCTCTCCAGTCTCTGAGCCTGACCTGCACCGTGTGGGGCGAGCCGACCCCTGAGGTCACCTGGTTCAAGAATGAGCAGGAGGTCGCCTCCACCGAGCACACCAGGGTCACATTCGATGGCGGCAAGTTCGCCAGCCTCGTCATCAACAAAGTCACTCCCGAAGACTCAGGCAAGTACAGCATCAACGTACGGAACAAGTACGGCGGCGAGTTCGTCGAGATCACCGTCAGCGTCTACAGGCATGGTGAGCAGATCCCCGAGGCCAAGCTGGGACAGCCCAAATCGGCTGTTGCCACACCTGCTGCTACACCTGCAGCCACGCCTGTGCCCAAGTCCCCAGCTCCCCCTTCCAAGACCCCAACCCCCACCCCTAAGGCCCAGACCCCAGCATCTATGAAGAGCCCGACTCCAGCCTCTACCCCTGCTTCCACCCCAGTCCCCAAATCACCAACCCCAACCCCAAAGTCCCCGACTCCTTCTCGCGGCGCCAAGTCGCCCACCCCACCTAGATTCATGAAGTCTCCAACCCCACCAAGGAAGTAAACCACGGTGGTGACGTCTGAGGGGAAACGATTTCTGTTAGCAACGCTGATTTATAGCATGAGTGTGAAACCACGAGGCGTTAAAGTTTATTAGATGTAGTCGCTGTTTAAAGTCCCATTATCTGAACTTCTGGACGACAACTTACACAGAACAGGCTTCTAACCCGTGTCGAGATTCTTTGCGTTCCAGCGTTCTCTATAATTTCTGACAACATGTTGCAGGATATATAGAGATGCAAAAGAGGGACTTTTACAGCAGCTTCTATCATGCAGTACATTTCCTTTTCAGTTTCATATCTTTCCGCTGTGCTTTTAACACAGACAGGAAACAGGCACAATAACTACAAAAAAAAAAAAAAAAAGGCCGATATTTCTGTTCACTCTTTGAAAAGCTGCACCTTCCACTGTGAAACGTTGGTGGAACGCCTGTATACATTTATTTTGTTGATGTTAAAGTATAGTTCCTGTTTCTTATAACTTTGGTCACGATTACGCAGCCTTGCTTCTGTCAGTGACGTCACTGAAAAGAGGGCGTACAGGTGAAGAAACGAGACATCACACGAAAGAAAAAAGCTCGACAGGTTAGACAAACTTAAATGGAAGAGAAAACCAGGGCAAACAGTGAGATTATCACTCAAACTGTCGTCGTAAAGGTCCGTCACAGTGTACAGACTGACCTTCTGGTTCAACATGCTCATTGTAGTTGTGCGCACACAGTTTCCTGTACGGTGAAGGATTATTAACGACATTTCAGGGGTAATAACGTCTGAGTTTTACCTGATCGTGTGTCTTCCTCCATCTAGCGATGTCACCATGTTTCCTTGATTTTATCAGTTTACCTGCTGAGTGTGAAGTTATCATAACCAGTAATAAGAAGACCAAACTGTGGGAATTACACCAAAGTTCTTATAAGCTGGAATTAGCCTTTAACCTGGATGACCTGGGAGTTTGCAGGTACAGAGCTGGTGTATGTTGTCAGCACCTGGGCGGGACATTATCACCACATACCAGAATATTTTTTTGTTTTTGCTCTGGGGTGATGAAGGTTTCCCCTTTTATCATACTTCAGTCCCAGGTAGCTCATCGTAAAGAAGCCAGTTAGTGATCCTGTGAATGAAAGTATTCACTTCCTACCCTGGTGTCTGTGCCAGAGAGGTCTGTCTGTCTGTCTGTCTGTCTGTCTGTGACATGTTGTGTTTCCCCCTGCTGCTTTGTGATGGCAATAAACTTTACTCATCAGCCTCCTTCTCATGTCTTTGTGATTGATCTCCTCTCTGTCTCAGCTACACAACTGTTGAAATGTTTGTAAGCAGCTGTTAGATTTATGTTTTCCTTCTTTCCTTTAATAATGGCTATTTTAACAGAGTAAAAAACAGTATAATTCATATACATATGAAATAGTTTGGGCCCCAAGAGAAGAATGAAATGATTCAAACTTCCATTTAATTGATGACCCCCCATTGTTGCTTGAACTTGGATTTTGAATTTGTTTTCCAGTCCAAAAAAGTGTCAGTAACCCTTTATCATCATTAAACCACAAAGGTTCAACTTGTCTCTAAACATTAATGTAGTCCATTTGTCACTGGGCTCTCTGCAGTCCACTCAGCGGTCAGATTGAAGAGGTTTAAACTGATTTGTCAGTCCTAGTACGTCCAGCTGACATTCCAACAGCGCTATATCTAAACTGATCTGATTGTGTTGTGAAGTTTGAGGAAGAGCTTTGCTGCTCTTCAAATGTGTTAATTCAAACTTCTTATAGGCAATATTGTGCTCTTTACACTGAAACAGGAACCTCTTCTTTTTTTTAACTGTTCACACGTTGATGCGGAGCGTCCAGTTTCTTCGACCAACAGCTGGTGATTTCTTCTTTCCTTATTCAGCTGTTGCTCAGAGGGATCTTTGTTTCTTTTCAGTCAGGTTGAACTATTGTACAGGGTTTTCTTCTTCATGTACAAAACTCCTCATATAAAATAAAATCTATTTGTAAAGAGAACATTCTTCAACTTTAAAACACAGAAGACCTTTCAGACACATTGAGTCTGACTGTACCTAATCAAGCTTTTGTGGCAGGAGATTACGAACTTTTGAACCGACCCAATCCTCAGAGTAAATGTTAGCATTGTACCTGCATACCACGGATACGTTACATTTGTACATTATTATGTCGCCGAAGCGTTGAAAGATTGTATTTTAGCAATGCTGTGTTAACGTGTGGTTAGTTGGGGAACTGCCCACTGGTTCGACATCCCATTGTTCCGACCATATTAAACTCATTGTTCCGAAGTCCGTTCCGAAATCATCATGATGCCCTGTGGTTAAGGTCTGGTTAGGTTTAGGCACAAAAACCACTTGGTTAGGGTCAGGAAAAGATCATGATGTGGGTTAAAATGAAAAAGAAAGTGACAAACTCATAAGCCGTGAGCCTGCTCAGCCTCAAGCCGGTCGCAGCGCACCATAAGCCCGCAGCGAGCCGTTCAGCACCGCGGACAGTCGGACTAATGGGATGTCGAACCAATGACATGGACCCGGTTAGTTGTAGGCGCCAACACGTTTAAGAAACGGTCAGGTTTTGGTTTAAAATAGTGTCCTCAAAAGGGATAGTTTGGGGGCACTACCCAGCTGGAAACGCAGCAATGTCTTGGTGAAAAACAATCACTTAGCGTAGCACTCTCGCAGCAGTAAACACAGTGATGGCTTGGTAAAAACCTACAGCTTTCCGTCGCACTATCCCAGCAGAAAACTCAGCAGTGTCTTGGAAAGAAACAGCCACTTTTCTTGGCACATCGCAGCTGGAAAAGCAGTGACGTCTTGGAAGAAAAACAACCACTTTCCACGGCACTATCTCGGCTGAGAATGCACGGATGGTTGGTAAAAAACTATGGCTTCGCAGCAATGGATCGCGAAAAAAACTCCAAATTTTTAACCATAAAACTGCTGGAGACGCAGCAATGACCTGCTAAAAACAACCAGTTTTATTGTTTATTGGTCTGGAACAGTGGTCTGCAGCTTGGACAGTGTCTCGCTAAGTGTCACACCATCCACTGTCTCCTCAACCTCTCGATGACCACGTCAGCTCGTACACTACATCGCTTTACAAACGTTAATGTGATACAAATGGAACATGCAAATGTGTTGTATCAGCAGTTTGCAAACACGCTCAATGCCAACATTTTCCTCTGGTGACTGGACTGTTTGAATGGTGTGTGGTGGAGGTAATATGATTCCTGCTGCAGCGCTGAATAAAGTAAAAACGTGCACATATTGTGTTGTATCCAGGCTCAAATGAAGCAGCTGACAGCTGAATAGGTAAACAAACCTGCCCCTGCTCTGGAACCCAGGTGAGCTGAGATGGGCGGGTCTTGTTAACAGAATGTGAGCTGTCAGTGGAGCCAACAGGGCAGGTACAACAAGCTATTCCTTTGAATAGACACATCAGATCCACACCTTAGGGCTGCTGCTGGTTCATGCAGCAGAGTACAGACGCCGAGGCTGACTGGAGGGTTTCACTTTGTTCTGTTTGAGCTGTTTCTTTAAGGTTCAGGACTCTGCACAGGATTTCTTTCACCAGTCATGAAGTAAGTCTGTTTAAGAGTTTTTTCATCAACGATAACTAACTGAAGAAGTCCCCGCATGCCTTGTAATGTTTACCTAGCCGACTTGTGGTGAATCACACTTGACAGACAGGTTTAACACTTCACAAGTGTAAACTGCTTTTTCTCTCTCAATGAGCTCTCTGGTGTCTCTCTTCGTTTAATTTAGTGTCTTGTTTAAACAGCATGATTAACAGTCACACAACTTGTCACACTGAAGGTAAACAAGAGGCTTGTTGCGCATAGAGACGCAAAGGGGATCCAGCATCCATGGAGTCCAATCTGTCCTGCCTGTCTTCACTGAAAGAGGACGACTTTCTGCTTTACATCCAGCCACATTACAAAGAAACCTACCGCCTGGCCATTTATGCCCTCCTGTGCGGAGGCAAAGAGGCCTACGAGGAGTTCCTCCGAGCCGAGCAGATCAGCCACTTTCTGTCAGAGCAGGAGATCCTGTTCATTTTGGAAAATGCAGAGTTACCGGTTGTGGAGAATGACGACGACTGCTCTGAGGGGAAACGGCCCACAAATGAAGCCAGCCCCTCTACCTACTTCCCAACCGAGTCAGATGAGGAGGTGCCGGACCTGGACCTGGGCTGGCCGGAGGTCTCGCTGGAGAGCGTGGACACCAGCATCAGCCTGCTGTTCCATCCCCCCAGACAGAACACACCGACCATTAAAGAAGTGATTCGTAAACAGATACAGGAGGCGAGGCAGGTGAGAACATGATGCTGTTGAATACATGAAAAGGTGAAGTCAGGGTCATCTTGTTTGTCATGGAGGATACATGTGAAGGGAGTCATCTTCTTGTTTTGGTGCACATATATTTAACACTGCACACTGACAAATGCAGCACAAAGACAATGGCACTTAATCTGCAGAACAAACACACAATGGAAGGCGTTGCTTTCCACAGGAGAAAATACACATCACACTACATATTTCTCTGCAAACGCACCACACCGTAGGTACATCAGTACTCTGATCCTTCTTTAAAGGGCCAGTGTGTAGGGTTTAGTGGGATATATTGATAAAAATGGAATATAACTATGTTTTCATTAGTGTATAATCACCTGAAAATAAGAATTGCAGTGTTTTTGTTACCTTAGAATGAGCAATTTATATCTACAAAAGGAGTGGGTCGTCGTTCACGTCTGTCCTTGTCTTGTCTTCCATGTTGCACTGCTGTGTTTCTACAGTAGCCCTGAACAGACAAACCAAATGCTGACTCTACACTGGGACATTTGTGTTATATGTTACCTGAAGGCCACTGTGGGTTCTCATATGCACAGGGGGGTATTCAGCTGGTTGCAATCTGCAATCTAACCACTACATACCACTAAATCCTACACACTGCTGCTTAAAGTAAAAGTAGAAGTGCCACAGTCTAAAACCCTCCCTTACAATTAAAAGTTCTGAATTAATAGGATACTTAAAGGAAAACTATGCCCATTTTTTTTAAATTCATACATGTTATTCCTGTGTTCTAAGACAGTCTAAAAATGTTAGTTAACATGAACAACTCTCTCCCAAATCTTAAAACTAGAGGGCTAAAACTAAAACTTGTGATGTGACGGTATAAAGTCTGGAGCTGCTCCATAGACAATAGCCCTTTTTAGAAGGAATTGTGCAGATTTGCAGGAAAGCCCAATCAGTCTTTTTTCAGCATTGGCAGTATAAAAACAAAATCAGGGAGTGCAGCAAACCGCCGCCTACCTACTTTTGTTTATACAGAATGCGCCTTTTTCGGGGCAATGGGAGGCATGAGCAAGTAACAAAACGTGTAGCTCAGCGTGTGACATAAACAGTGACGTGGGAGGGAAGCCACGGCTGGTCAGTCCTTCGTCGATTCTCTCATAAGTCGGCCCGTTCTTCACCGTCCCCGTCATCTGACGGTTAATGGCCTCTTCGTTTGCGAGGACAATGAGGGCGCGCAATTCCTTGTCTCCCCAGTTGCTCATCTTTACAGTGTCTGTCAGGTTTGTGTTTCCCTCTTGCTACTAGCTGCTCGCTAATTCCTGCTATCAGCTGTTTCCTGTTTATCCACCTCCAGTGGCTCGCACATGCAGCGTCATCAACAGCTCCTCCCACAAGTCGTCAACAGCCCCTCCCGTTGTGGAAGGCCGCCTCTGTCTTTTTAAACTAAAAAGGTTCTGCCAATTTGTCTACCCTACGAGGCAGAAAATTGGGCACCTCGGATCAACTCGCCATTCCACCTCTGTGTGTCTAAACGCTCGCAGCTTGCCAGCAAAACGGCCCAACATTCGCTGAAAATCTGGCAGTGTAAAAGGGGCTAATGAATTGGGAAATATGTTCTAAATGACACTAAGAGCACTGAGGAAAATGTTATATAGGTATATTTTATGTTTCAGATCTGAGCGGGTGGAAGAAAACATATCGGAATTCTTAATTTTGGTGGTGTTTCCCTTAATGCCCAGTTCAGACCAAAGATTCACGACAAGATGAGTCGAAACAGGCAACTCCTTGCAATGCGCTGTTCTGCAACTTTCAAAAACCAAGTAGTTCACAACAATACAACTAGATGAGATGGTGAATCATCTCTGTGCAACAGCTCTGTACTTTTGAGCATCAAACACTAACTTTCCTGCATTCTGGTGAATTTTTTGGCATCAATTTATGGTAGAAATGTGTTGAATTCAGTCAAAATAAAAGTCCTTGGCTACTTTTATGCACATGTTCTAAATATTGAGGGCAGGGGCGTTAAATAAAGCAGTGCCATTTGCTATATATGCCCTTGAAAAAGGCAAATCCATCTTAGTCATGTTTGTTTTGTAAAATAGTCACTAGATCTATAACATAATTATATGTTTATTGCAAATAAACTATAATTATCTTGTAAAATTGTAAAAATAAATTAAAAATGTCTCATTTTCGTAGGTATTTTTGTCAAATTTTGATAAGCAATGATGATTGATGGGTAATATGCAGGGGCGGAAATCCCGGGGGGGGCAGGGGGGACATGACCCCCCCTCCAGTAAAGCTGTCCCCCCCTAGAATAATTTGAGACACAATTAATAATTTTTGAACAGTGCAGTAGTATTTATTGAAAGCACAATGTAAGCGGTAGTTGTGGTATATCCCACACTCTTTCCAACGGGCGGGGCTAGCAGCTGTAAGTACTTGGCAGCAGTAGCAGCGTGTGGCTGGACCCGCTGCCCACATTGCGCATCACAGGGTAAGATGTTGACTCACACAGACACAGTTTAACTTACACAAGTTACAACACATCCCATTTACTGTTACAACAAGGCCCAGGCTGATAATATAAACTGTCAGCAACATTTCTCCTGCATTGTTCAAAAGCCTACTCAATTACGAGTGCTGCTAAGCTAAAAGCTAATGATTAAGCTCAGAGTTTAGTGACAGTCAGAGAGGACAGGAGAGAAAGAAGAGGGAGAGGACAGGACAGAGCAGTCAGTGGCGGAGCGGCTCGTAGCTAATGGGTACCTGTCTGTAGGCTCTCCACCTGTCAGTGAGACAAACATGACAGACATGCAGTTTAACCGACGAGGAGCGGTCATTACGCGCGACTATTACGCACGGTTGTGAGGTGCGCAGTGGCAGATCTCACAGCACACTGTTTAGAAACCAGTGTACAAGTTTAATTACAGGAAATGTTTAGTTGTTAAGCCATTTCTCATAAGTATAGACATTCACTCTGCCTGTTGGAGAGATAGAGAGAAGATTAAAGGGTCAAATTGGGGTAAAAGATGTTGTATAAAAGACAGGCTACAACTTTTTTTCCTTGTACCCCCCTGGAATTATTCTCTAAAATTTTACTGTTTATTGTCCCCCACAACTATGAAATGGGATTTTCGCCCCTGGTAAGATGTACACTGAAGTTATCCAATGTTAAGTCTCTGATCACGTGACGAGACGATATGTGCACAATTGCATGCACTAGGACCATCTTATTGGCGTGCACTGGGGCCTATCGCAACTACCTTATGCCACTGATTGATGGGAATGTGTCTCCTGTGTCCTCCCTGAAATTTATGCCTACGGTTGCTATGGCAGAATTTTCACCTCAGAAAAAATGTAGCACAGAAACATCTCAAACTGCTGCTGCAGAGCAGTTCACTCCTCCAGGCCTGTAGCTGCCACCAATGACAGCCTACATATTTTCTCTGGGGACTGTTTTAAGGCCTTCATGATGACAATTCAAATGGCAGCAGTTTATTTTAAGAGTCTCTAATTTCCTATTTTTTTCCAGGAAGGAATTATGTCATCTTATAATTGTTCTGAGGCAATTAAGTTTACAACGAGGAGGAAACATGCAGAAACACATCATAAAATAAAAGGAGAAGATGCACTCTATCTGACTCAGTGATCATGTAAGAGCCTGTGGAGCTCACCAGCAGACATGTGTTAGACCACACATGTTTGAACGCAGCCTGCCGCTCATCTGTAGGTCAGACCTGCTCTGTCCTGCCGCCGCTCACTCATCGTGATAAAATGATTATCACTTTGCTAATCTAGGAGCTGATGATTCGGTTTGCTGGTTCTAACTGGTAAATCTGTAAAAAATGAACCCAGTGACTGGTTTAAAGCTAAAACAGCTTGTTGTGATTCAGTGACAACAGATAGAAATATAACAATAACTAAAAGAGAAGAATACAAACTACACGACGTGAGAGGGTGCAGCTACAATATGCAGCAAACGTCCTATAAAAGACAGGAGTTGTGATGTCACAAACTACCCAGCAGCATATAAAACTTTATTTCGAACCAAAAATAAAGAAATGGAAAAAAAAAAAAACCAAGACAAAGATAACAGTGTCTGAAAAGGAGTAGGTAGAAGTAACACTTATATGTCCCTACCCCTTTTCTATTTAAAACTCATATTGTATTTCAACAAATTCCCAAATTTATTTACAACTAATATATAACTATCCCCAGTCTATTTACCACCCAATTAAATATGTAATAAACCCCGTTTATTTACAGTCCAAGTACCACCCAGTGTCTATCTGCCAAAATATCTTTTTGTATAGTTTTTTAAATTGTTTTATATTTGTGCTTTTGCTTCATCTCATCACGCAGCCCGTTCCACATGTTCATCCCAAACACTGAAATACACAGACTCCTCTTAGTTGCATGAACACATTGTTTTTTAAAATTAAGTTCTCCTCTTAAAGTATAAACCCCCTCCTGTCACAAAACTTTTTTTGCTCTACCTTTACCAGCTGCAACGTTAAAGTGATGAACACATTATGCATCAGTGATTATAATCCAGTAATAAAATGGACCATTCTTCATAATGAGTACATGGCGGATCATGAGACAATGGGCCCCTGGGCACAGATATGCAAAAGGTGCTACCACCTCTGTTACACAGGAGCACGACACACAAACGTCGTAGTGGTTTAGCCTCTTTCTGTTGCTGTTTTTTGTCTCTTTGTAGTCAATATGCATATTTTTGTGGTTTTGTGTCTCGCCATGGTGATTTTTTTAGTGTGGCAATTTGTTTTGCGTCTCTTTGTTGGAATTTTTGCGTCTCTTTGTGGTCATTATGAGTCTCCTGGTCAGTTCGCGTTTATTGGAGTGACATTTTGCAGGTGAAGGCCAGCGGTGCCCTGACACTTTGGGCCCCTGGGCCAATCCTGTAGCACTGTTTAGTCACGTCAGATTTATTTATAGAGCACATTTAAAAACAGCAAATGTTGACCAAAGTGCTTCACAAAGAGATTAAAAAA